AAAAAAAAAAAAAAAAAAAAAAAAAAAAATAAAAGAGAAAAATAGAAAAAAAGATGAAGAAAGAAAGGAAAAAAACCAATGTCCGTCTATTATTGTACTTTTTATATTTGAATATACAAAGAATTTTTTTTTTCTTTTGTGCCTAACAAAATAAGCTTTTTACTATTGAGAAGGAATACTATTGTCTAAGTAAACTGTAAATTATATATATTTTTACAAGGTTCTATTGGTTAAACTGAATGTTGGTATCCATTCAACTTTTTTTGTGATGATATATAATATTATGTCTATCTATGTTTGTATCTGTTTAGTATTTTAAGTTCTATATTATCTTCTGACATCTTTAACGATATAACGATACCATTTGATAAATGTTTATTATTATTTTTCTATTAATAATTTAAGGTCTATGACCACCTTCTCTATTTCTCTGATTTGGATCTCGTCCAAAAATGTCAGCAAATCCTTCACGTCCATCATGTCTCATCACTCCGAATATATAATCTCTTGCGTTAACAGATGTGTCAAGTGGTTCAAAATCTTCGTTCATATCATCATTATTCCCAATATCATTATGACGATTATTTCGAATATCATCTTGAAGATACATTTGTCGACGATGATTTTGAAATTGTGGATGATGTTGAAAATGTAAATGATGATGAGGATGAAAATCGGTATCATCAATATTACTATCAAGCATTTCATAATCCTCTTCAGGAGGAGTTGGCGTTGATGAAGGATGTGGAAACGGCGGGGGAAGAGCTATAAAACGTAAAGGACTTCCATCATGAACATTCAAAGGTGGACTTGGTTGTGGAAATGCACGTGGAGGAATATTTCCTATCTGAAAATGATTATCTGACATTGGAAATAGAGAGTTATCAGTTTCTAATCTGATAATGTGAACGGGTTGATTAATTGGATGTTGGATATGCACTTGATAATGAGGTTGATTTGGTTGTCCGCACTATTAACCCAAAGAAATTTGAGTCTGTAAATTATTAAGTACAAAAAAAGAAATTGAAAAACAAAATTTTTGATTAGTAAAAGAGAAATAAACAATTATTTCTACCTCGATAGGTTCCAAAATGTGTGGTGTTGTCCCTGGTACGGGTTTTAAAGCAATTAGAATACGACCTCTAAATGAATTAGCGGTTTCGATTTCTGATTGATAAACAAACGCCAATCTATTACAATATTAGAACAGGGGCTGAAATTGTTATTATGTTTTGATAATTAAAGGAATGTACATTAAAAAAAAAAATTATTAATATTAACTAACCTTGAACTTTCTTCAGAATCATATATACTTTTAATACTAATGTCAACCTCTTGATCAGCTCTCTCTAATTCTTGTCGTTCAGATTCCAAATTTGCATTGGCGGTCTTAAGTTCTTCAATCCTTCGTTTATAATCTTGCCGTATAGCTGGTTGTTGCTGTTGTGTACCCCTGTAAGAATTATCATTGGTGATGATTGTGAAAATTATTTACGCGATTATATCACCATTGGGCAAGGAGAATGCGTATTTCTGTTGTACAAAGCAAAACCATAAAATTACAAGAGCTTTGCTCAACTAAAAACAAGCATAAACCGTATACTTACTTCCAACGAACATGATTCTTTGAATTTTTTTCAATTAAACCAATTCCTTCTAATACGTTTGTAATGTCATAAATTCTTCGCTTTTGAACCTTTAAAGCTACTGCTGCTGTATTTAGGTCCAAGTCTCCATCTTTTGCTTCCGTAAGAAGACTCACAAATTTTTTTGTAAGTAACCCGAGAGAACTATCATAACGGCATGCACCAGTGATAATGCTGGGAAGGTCTTGATAAAAAAAAATAAAGTTGATAAACTTTAGAGAAGGCGTGTTGTTCCAACATCTGACATATTCAAGTGTTAAAAGTTTGACGAGTTTTGTAAAGAGCTCCGGTTGAATGGTTACCGTTCGTCTCCTTTTTAGTAATATTTTTCCTTCGTCGAGGTTGTGTAAATGGGTTCGACCTTGTTGAAGATGAGGGAGGGTTAAGTATTTCTCTTCTTTGTGAAGTTATGCTTCGACGAGAGTTGGCGGAAGTCGAATTCAACGACATCTTTTTAGAGTGTTCCGTTTCTGAAGGTTGCCCGAATAAAAAAAACTATTTAATCTAATGATATGCAGTGCAATAGGATATTAATGAGACGTCACTGAAATTTGAATGAAAGAACCCTAAAAAAGTTCGTTATGCGATTATCAACCAATAATATATTATTTAAATAATATGCATTGGATAATTTTAGTCTATCCGCGTCAATGGGGCGTGCGGGGAATGGTTCTAACTCGTGTGAAACCATTATAGGTTCTTCTAAAAGAAGCATTAATTGTCGTAAATTTTGCCTAAAGAGTGAAGAATGACTAAAGAATGTTTATACTAATTAATATAACAAGAAAAAAAAATTCATGTTTTGTTAATTAATTAATTAATATTAATATTATAATTGTTATTTTTTTTTTCATCATTTGTCTTGGAAAAAAACGCGCAAAGACCGTACCTCCATCATTGTGGCATTGTTTTCTGAATGACAACTTATACAACCTAATGTCGTACCATTGTCTTGAATATGTCGTACAAAATTCTGAATAACAATGAATACAATGAACGGTCATATTTAATTATAAAAAAAAAAAATTTTTGTTTCACAGAATGCATTTTCGGCAACTCCCGATAGTAATACTAGATAAGAAAGGTGTTATCGATTTCCTAATTATTTTTTTATCGCATAATTCGGCGTTTATTCTCGCAAGATCGAATAAAGACCCTGCATTTAAATTGTTTTGAACTATAAAATAGCTAAAGTCAAAATTACAAGAAATTCTAAAGTAAAATAAATCATATGAAAGTTTTAAATTAATTTGTTAAATGAAATTTTAAAACTTAAGTAGTTTTTCACATGAATTATCAGTAAACATTTGCTATTTAGCTTATCATAACTTGTTCTCATCTCTATTGTTCACCGATAATATCAGACCATTTCTTGTCTTTTAGTTCCCTAAGAATGTCATCCTTAAGCTCTCTTGGCTTACCAACACCATCATATCCAAAACTAGTATATAATTGCACTAAAGTAGCACCAGCTTTTGCATATTCAATTGCATCTTTAGCGTTTGAAATTCCTCCACATCCAACCAATAAGAGTTTTCCATTTGTATGTTGATATATTTTACGTAATGCTTTTAATGCTAACGGTTTAACCGGCGGTCCTGATAAGCCTCCTGTTTCAGATATTAAAGAGGCAACTAAAAAAAGGGGGGGAGTAAGTCAATTGAAATAACTTAGATTAGGTGCTTTACAAAAAGGAATTATTGCATCCTTCAACAAACCGCTTTGTAATGTATCTGGTCTTGATATAGTAGTATTAGACACAATAATTCCATCCACGCCACTGTTCAAAGCTGTATCTGCAATATCTTCCAATTCATTATCGGAAAGATCAGGTGCAATTTTAACCAACAAAGCTGGACGTGGTTCATGTAATGAATTACGTGCCTTTGTAACCTAAAATGTCATTAAAAGAAAATTTTTCAGCAAAAAAAATCAAAATAACAATTTATTGTATCTTATACATGCCTCTTTTAACAATTTCTCAAAAATTTCTTTTCTTTGTAATCCTCTTAATCCAGGAGTATTAGGGCTACTGATGTTCACCACTAACACATCAGCATAACCTCCAAAAGTTTTTATTCCTTTAACAAAATCTTGGACGTCTTCAGCGCTACGCCATTTATTTTTTCCTAAATTAATTCCCAATAATTTATCTTCTCTTAAACTTCTATTTATTCCTAATGCATCAGACAATGACACCTCATCTGGTGATGAGGCAAGTAATGCTGCTGTTATATTAGGATGGAGTTTTGCTGAATGAAAAAGATATCTTCTTACACGATCACGTAATCGTAATTCTACTTGCTTGTGACCATCAGAATTGAAACCGTAACGATTTATTACAGCCTTATCTTTAGGGAGACGGAACATTCGTGGTTTTGAATTTCCAGGCTTTTTTTTTTTACATTACAAAAAATTAAAAATATCCATTCATATATATATGAGTAAAGGAAATATTTATTAAAATTAAAATTACCTGAGGTTCAGGAGTTATACTTCCTACTTCAACATATCCAAACCCTACATCAAATAAGCCATCAATGGCTTCCCCATGTTTATCAAATCCTGCTGCTAGACATATCGGATTAGATACTTTTTTACCCCATACCTATTCAACAAATTTAATTTCATCAAATTAAAAGATTTTAAATATTAACCAAAATATTAAGTAAAGTGTGAATTCCGCTTACCTCAACAGAAAGTTGTTCATCATCAGGCAATCTATCTTTAGCATTTAATCCCCATTTAAAAACCCATATAGCAAATTTATGACTTGACTCAGGAGTGGTTATATTTCTCAACAACGGCATAAAAAGATATTTATGAATTGCTGCCCTAGAATCAAAATAATATTCTATAAAGAAAATTGCACTAATTATACTAGCTGTCCCAACAATGAAATTTCTGAATTTATAAATAGGAGCTTTATTTGTCGTTGTCGTTGACGTTGAGTTTGTTGCATGTCGCTGAAAAATGAAAGGTATTTTACGGACATTATGTGAAGAATATGCGATTGAGTGAGATATTTGTGGTAACGATAATCTCCTAAATATATGAGGCGGTATCAGAGAGAAACTCATTACAATGCATTGACAAAAAATTTGTTTAAAACACCACTTCTAATATTTTTTTTTCTTCCACGTGACTTCAATAAAGATCATCTCATGAATCAGAGATTTATTGATTTTGTCTTGTAATGCTAACCTTTGACCAGCATTATAGGCGTTTGGTAGTGATAATAGTGATAAATAAGTGTGACAACATGAGAGTAGAAAATTTGATTTGTTTTTATTGTTTAGTCTGGTATATCGACATTAAAAAAAGATCCGCAAACTTATTTAACTGTCAAGCTATTTAGCTATTCAACTAACCTTTTGGGAAATACGTGTAATTATGTGTTTAAATACGTGACACAAACGATCTTTGTTCAACGGGTTCAACGATAGATATTATTGGAGGAAACTCAAATAATTTGCACGTGAGATTTTCAAATATAGTCTCATGCCTTATATTCGTTCGCGTTTCTTCTTTTATCTATAACGGCCAGAAAGATTCACATCAAATAATTATTATAATAAAATGAGTGTTGTCAACATTACAAATATTAAAGTTCTCAATAACCCTACTTTATTCACAGCGGACTACCAGTTTGAAATTACTTTTGAATGTATTTCTGAGCTTAATGACGGTATGTCAGGTTTTCGATTTTCATAAAGTAACGTAAATGTAAAATTTTGAGTAGCTAGTTATTTCAAGTCATATATAACATACATTTTCGGTTTGAGAACATGCTTAGCTTATGTTCACGTAGTGATCTTAAATTCTACGCGTAAGAAAAATTGTATATTTTTTATTAAATTAGAGGGTTCCAAAGAATTATTCATTGAAGAATTCAATTAATTATAAATAGAAAACTACAAGAGAAATAAATGGACTCTTATTTGAGTGCGATTTTTACCAACGTGTAGTAATATAGTGATATTATACTTCATCCTTTCTAATTTTAGATTTGGAATGGAAAATTATTTACGTGGGATCTTCGGAAAGTAAAGAATATGATCAGGTTCTCGATAGCATTATGGTTGGACCCGTACCTCCTGGTGTGAATCAATTTATATTTCAGGTACCATACACATAGATTTTTTTTCTCAATCAAAAGAATTGCGAAACTTAACAATGAACTTTTTTTAAGGCACCAGCACCTAACCCTGATCGCATACCTCCCAGTGACCTTTTAGATGTTACTGTGATCATTATTACATGCTCTTACAGAGATCAGGAATTTGTTCGTGTGGGATATTATGTTAATAATGAGTACATTGAAGAAGAGCTGAGAGAGAATCCACCAGATAAAGTTATATTTGATAAACTGTATCGAAACATTTTAGCGGATAAGCCTAGAGTGACTAGAATGCCCATTAAATGGTATGTTAATTAAGTATTTTTAAGGTTGTTATAATATTATATATGAATCTTTTTGCTCTATTTAAAGGGATTCGGAGGATGAAACTGTTAAACTTAATCAAGAATCGGATGATGTAATGGGAGGGATACAAGAACAACATTTTTCAAATCGGTCACATCCCGGTGATAGTCAAGGGCAGATTGAGCAAATTGGATTCATGCCACCCCTTCAAAATCCTGGACAACCATCATCAGCAAATTATGATCCAATGTCTTCCGTTAAAATTGAATCAATGTCTTCTTAAGAAAAAGTGCTGGAATCAAAGTAATAATCAAAGATTGATTCATTATTTTTGCAATTATGATGTATGATACTTCTTTGCTTTCAATTGTTTATTATAATTATTTTTTATAATTATGTTCACAGTTATTGAAATTGAATTTTTTTATAAACTTTATTATTGATCATTATGCATAATATTCAAAAATAATATTTGAGTATGCGATTTATATAGACTATATTACACACATTTATAGTTTTTTTTGTATTTGTTCATTCCATACATTGGAGTTAGTGTAGTATTATCAAAACTTTAAATATTTTTAAAATAAAGGATTGAAAAATTTTTGAAACTTTAAAAGACTATATTATGATATAATTAATATGTATCATTTTCTTCGGTGCTGGTAGTAGCTTTTTTAAATTTCTGGGAATTAACAACTCCTAATAAAGAAGTGCAAACCTTATATTTTGATCTAATCTTATCTAATAATTCTACAAATTCAATATTTTGTTGATTTTCCCTTGGAAATAATGAAATCATTTCTCTTAATGATATGAATTGTTTTACTATCCTGCATACAAATAAATTACAAAGAGAAATGAATCGAAAAAAGAAGTTTTTTTTAAGGTATGATTATAGAATTACCTGATTACCTTTCATTTATTGATTTTTTAGGTGTATTCCATCCTTTGTCAACAATAATTTTTAACCACATCTCTGCTACACCATTATAAAATCCAATTTCTTGTGATATTTCATAACCTTTTTCACATCCTAATATGAAACCTTCTAATTTTCCTGACTTTACCCCATCTTTTACTCCATCTTCTTTACCAATCTCTATAAACCTGTAAACAATATTAAGGATATTAAAAGAACTAAAAATTATAAATATCAGCAAAATATAAACTAACATTGATTCAAGATTTACTAAATCATCAAGATCTAATTCTGTTTTAAGTTGTTGCTCCATGGTTTTAAAAAAGCGAGTTAACATCTATAAAATGGCCATTTATCATGTAAACCTTGTGAAATATGACGATCATTAATGGTCGCACGAGATCACATGACACGAAAATATTTATATATGGGAACGACCGACGGGAACGTGCATGAAGTATATATAGAACCTTTTTTTTTTTACAACACCTTTTATGACAAAAAAATGTCTCAACAAAGAATGAATTATCCTAGTGGTGGGACCTCACAAAATGTGATAAACATTGATAATATTGAAGTTGTTAGATCAAGAATGATACAAGTTAATGATGCTCAATCAGAATTTTTAGCGAATTTATCTGCTTCGGATGATCCTACTTCACTTAATTGGTAAGTAAAATATTGGCTATGAAATTTGAAGCTTCAAATCTTAATGGAAATAATGTTTGTCTTCAAATTTTACTTATCATTTTTTTTTTCTTAAGGATTACCTTTTTGAACAAAATTAATACGTTTTTATCAAAACACACCGGTTTATCGAATACTTTTATTGAATCAACATTACGTAAAATAATGTTATATCCAAAGGAAGCTCCTCCTGTTGAATTAGAACAAATATTTAATACTTTATTGCGTACAAAACAAATTCCTGAAATTGAAAATTTAGAACAAGAAATTAAACAGGAAATTTCTATACAAGAAAATTTATTAAATTTGGAATTAGAACTTAAAAAAAATTTAAATGATATTGACGATGATAATAAGTGGGATAAATTGTTCGATGAGTGGGATAAAAGATATAAAGAACATGATTATATTGCTTCTCAATCTTCTATAATTTGTGAAAATATATTGGGTGATAATAATAATCTTAAAAGAAGATTAGAGGATACTATTGATCTAGATAAAGAGTCACGTGATGATGTGGAAAATGTTGAGGATTTAACTATAGAAAAAGTTTTAGCTTTCATGTCAAGTGGAATTCAAGAAGGAAAAGGTCCAATTCCATTTAAATAAATCAACATTTTTTATTTTATACTCAAATAACTTTGTAATAGCAAATAATAAGGAATTGATTAGAAATAACTGCAAATTATTAATCTAGCATTTTTTTTCATTTATTATTTTAATTAATAATTATTATTATTATCACTATTATAATATAAATTATTATTAATATTTACATGTAGGGAAGTCTAGCACAAATATATACAAAAATTTAATGTAATTAACATTTATTCCTCTAACATAATCAGTATGCCATGCCTGATACGGATTCATTCTCGAAGCACGAGAATCCATGTACATCAAATAATTAAATGACTGTTTAAGAATATTGAAAATTTCCTGTATCTTTTTTTCAGGAACGTCTGAAATTAATTCCGACTAGTCTAGGTATATTATTAGTCAAGTCTCTAAGAGCGTACTCCATTGGCTCGTTTCCGAACATATTCGTCAATCCACTCCATTATTTTTTCAAAGTTGACGCGGGGGCTTGTAAAACCCGACGCAAACATTTGTACCTTGTTGAGCGCTATTTCCTTCTTATTTACGAGCTCTTGCTCAAATGCTTGCCAGATAGGCATTTTCTCGGGTTGTTTAAGATCTCGGTATTCTAAGTTCGCGAGATCGGACGCGAAGAAATAGGTCTCATCTTCAGTTTTTACGAAACTGATATCCGTTCCGCACCAAGTTTTTTGTCCTTTTTGTCCGGCTGGTGGGATGCTGTAATAAATAAAATACACAGTTAGCAATAAATTTTGTACGAAGGAAAAAAATTGATCTAATACCTGTAGCTCCAGATAAGGTGAAACTTAGTCGCGCCTTTGGGAATTACTTGTAGTTCACAAGCATGATCATCCTTCATTGAAAGACTAACGAGGAAACGAATTACGGTAGGAATAATTCTCAAACTCTAAAAAAATTGGAATTAATTATTACACGCTATATTATGTTTATAATAATTGCAATAAATTTACTTACTTCGATAAATCTATCGAAGTTATATATATATGCAGAATTTAATTCTTCTTTTAAGAATGCATGTAACTTGTCCTTGTGTGGGTTAGAAAAGTCTTCTTTCGTATGAAGTTCGGTACCAAGTCCATACATATATAAAGTCAGAGCGTATTCGTCATTACACCAACTTATATCGACGCCATACTATAAATTAATATCAAAAAGAATCATGAATATACAAATCATAAGAAATATTAACGAAAAAAAATATATATATAATTTACCGGGTCATACTGTAATTTAAGTGTGTCAAAATCAAAATTAATTATATTAATATCATCTTTTTTCTTGTCACACAATATACGTTTACACTCGGAGGCTGCTTGTGTCATCATAACGATCTCTTCAAAATCCTCAAGGAATGTTGTCACGAAATTTTTTTTGTTTTTGTATTTGTATCTAAAAGTTAAGATGCCTGATGATTGATCGTATGTAATATTGGCTAAAAGCAATAAGGGAAAATATAAAATCACATTATTTCTTAGTAAATGCGGTATTTGTTATAAACAAAGGTCATATAATTTATATATTTTTTATAACATAATAACAAAATAAATTAATAAAGACTAACTGTGTAAAAAGTTTTCAACCATCTTTGGTATATATCTGGATTGTAGGCAAGTAGTTAAAATTACCTAGAGGAAGAGTAAAGATTATCAATTTTCTAGTAAGTTGTTAAATAGTAAAAAACCGTAAACTTACTTCCGGATTCGTCATTTTCGTTAATCGTGTGCCAGCAAGACGTACAAAAACGTCGCTAAATATGTTCAAACACAAATCATTTGCTCTAGGAAATCTTGCCAGCAACGACTTTATGCTAATTTTGAAAGTAGGTATTATCGTGGATAACGATAAAGGAGTATTTGCATCAAGAAAATCTAATGACTTGTCGAGTGATTTATCAAAATCCACTTCAGGTGACATACACTTAGCAGTTTCTATTTGACGTAGTATATCACTGGGTCTGACAGGCTCTAACTTCACTTCTTTTTCGCTAAAATAAGACACTATTTTCTCATAATCTATGCGAGAACTTAAAACATTGAAAGAATATTTTGTAAATATAATATTTAAAGCTCTATAAATGTACTCAATGGTAGTAAATATGTTACATACCGAGCTATTGACACAATTCTTGAAAGCAATAGCTCATCGATCATAAACCTAAATTTTATTAGATAGTTAGTTTCAATTGCTTATATTAATAAAAATGTAAATGTAAAAAACTTATTTATAAAACGTACGAGTTAAAATCTGTTTCTGAAGTGTCAAGCGTTCGTTTGGCTGGTCTCGATAATGTTGAACCTATTTCATCCTCATTCATCTTATCAAAATTCCGCTTACGATGATTATATTCATTTAGATATCTATACTTCATAGGATCACTTAGAAATTGTCGGGGTAGCTTACTATCCGCTCTTAATTTTTCAAAATCAAATACTGTATTCCCTAAACGAATAGACCGAACCGAAGTGATTTTGTGAGAAGGTTCTTTAACAAGATCGCTGAGAAGGAACTTTCCGCTTGATGTCATACGACTTAAATTATTTTGATAATGTTTCCGTAAGTAATACTTTACATTGAAGTATAAACAAAAAAATATTTAAATGTCTATTTAGATACCTTAATTCGGCCAGACTAAAAACTATACCATTTTCTACCAATCCAGCAATAAGATAATTTAACTTATCATGAATACCTTCGTGAGGTAGCATAAGCATCTTCTTAACATCTTTGACGTCATTAAATTCCAGGATTATCTTTTGGTTTGTACGAAGCTTCATGTTATCTTCTGGACGTAACTGAATTTCCCGTGGAACATCAAGAAAAAGTTTTCTGGCCATCGATTCAAGTCGAGATATCATCACCACAGATCTAAGCACTACAAGTACTTCAACAAGTTTATTATGGTCATAGCTAAGTTTATCCTCACATGCCTTGATTTTATCTTAATTACATATAAGAATATAAATATAGTTTCGTGTAATTTTAATACAATATGCTAATAAGTTACATACCGCTATCTATCTCTTGTTTCTCATCTTCAATGAAAATTCTCCCGCTATGAATATCAATTCCAATATTTATATAACAATCTTTGAAATCGCCACACAATAGTACACGCAACTTTTGTACATGTAGGTATTTTCTTGCCACTTCGTCTGATAAGGGCGACTCTGATGATTCTAAATCATGTACAAGTTCTGTAAATAAAGAACAAATTTAATAATAATCTATATATTAATGTCATGAAATCAAAAGCTCACCATTATTTCCACCAACAATTTCAAAGTCATCTTCAGTGTAAACACCTTTTTCATCATTTTTCAAAATGTCAACAAATTTATTAATAACTGCCTGGGCATGTCGTTGTGTAATGGACAGCATCAAGTGCTCAATATTTAGATTTGTTGGATCCTATGAAATATAAAAAATACTCATTAACTTTTGAACTTTTCAAATAACTTCAATATAATATAGAAAACATACAAATTCCCAATCGATAACTGTCCATTCACTAGCTTCCGAACCTTTTAATCCAGTCCACCGTACGCGTAAAAATTTATGTGGATAATTAATTCCGCGAATATCGTTTAATGCTCCGAGTTTTACATACTTAGTATCAGTATACCAATGTGATCTTTTAAGGGCCTTATTAGACGAATAGAGTAAATGACGATCAGACTCTTCAGTTATCACAGAAATTTCAATAATATCGTGATTAACCTCCGTTTCCGAAGGTCGTATGGCTTAGTTTACGAATGATTCGAAAATGTTAATATTTGGTTTATTATAAGTTTAATTGATCATATAGCGAAGTTAATAAGTTATGAACCTGCCAGTGCTTGCTTAATATAACTTTAAGAAAAGGAAGCAAAAGTACCAAAGAATTAATATAACTTGAAAATAGGATTAATAAACACAGTAAAAAAGTATTTGAAGAAAAAAAAAAAGATGGATAAATTACTTCCAATAATAAATCTTTAAAACACTGTCTTCATCATTAATAATCATTTCAAAATTATTAGCCCATCTTGTTTGTCTCATATAATATGCCTATCAAATTAATAGAAATTAGGACAAGATTGAGATGGAAAAAAAGAAAAAAAATAATCATAAAATGTAATTACTTGTTGAGCCAATATATTAAGTTGCAAATCTAAGCAATAATTATCTGTTGCAAGAATGGTTAAGGTAGTTAATTGTATAAGTTCATAAAATCTGTCGTTACAATTATAAAAGGATACGTAAATATTCGTATAAATTTACTAATGGACAGAATTTAGCTGTGTGAGGTAAAGAAGTCGGTTCTAACGTCTCGCCTATCCGTTTCATACTACTTGAAATCCTTTCAGAGATAGGCTTTAGTGGTGGTGACAAATACTGTTTTTGAATTGTGTCAATTAATCTCGATATTTGTTCATCATGAAGTGAGAGCTTCACGTCTATTGAGTTATAGAAAACAATAATTTGATTATAAACTTAAAAAGTATCTTTGATATTATAGGACAACTAAAGAAAAAAATTTCTTAATACCATTAAATATTTTGTTACTCGCAGATTGGATGAGAAATTGCAGTTCAATAATCCACCAACGTGAATCAATTCCCATATTATCAGGCGTCAACACAGCCTTAAAATGAAATCAATTATATTATTGAAGATAGAACATAACAAAAATACTGTTCAAATTATTAAATCATCACCTCAAATTCCTTATCGACTATAAACTTTATTTTTCCATTCAAAATTCTATAATTTCTCATGCGTTTCGGTATTATTTCTTGTGTTAACATTCGTATTTGGATGACACCATTTAAAGCCTCTAATGTTTCTTTGGCTTTATCATCGTCTAAAACGTCAGGTGCAAAGCATTCCTATATCATTAAGAAAAAGAATTTGATAAAATGTCATTTTAAAAGAAAATAACAAACTATTAATTACTTTCATAAATACTTTTTTTAAATACCTTAATTATACTTGGAAATCTCTTATAAGTTCCCTCTTTAAGCACATCTGACGAACTTGTGACGTCAGGTGAGCGTAGACTAGAATTCAAAGTATTGAGCTAAATATCTTAAGCTTTTAAGAATCTAGAAAAAAGTTTTCCAATATTACCTAGAACCGGGCATGTGAAAACTCCACTCTCGCATTTTTGCCTCCACCTCGTTACTTATAAGCTTTTGTCTTTGTACGTCCTTGTAATGTATCTATTCAGTAAATGATGAAAATATTAAAATATAATAAAGTAAAGTTTCTCTCTAAAAGCTAATTGATCTTTTAAACTACTTATAAATTTAATGTATACTGTATATTATGTTTTAATCCAAAAATCTTTTACCTCATAGTCGCGTACTAAGCCAGCTTTTTCAGACCAAGAGACTAAGGTTTTTAATTTTAGCCAATTATTACGTTGTGGTAATAGGTAGCTATGCATGAAGGATTTTCTACGATCCGTATCTCCTGTTTCCGGTGATCTGAAAAAAAATGGAATTTCTTTTAATCTCAAAGATACAATAATATCTATATAAAAAACTACCTACTGCCTGTGAATGAATGTAGCTAGTCTATCGTGAGCATCGCAATTAACGGCGTCCACTACATCAATTAAAGGTTTCCATACTTGTGGTTTTACAGTGTGAGATCGTTGGATCTCGGGTGTGTTTAAGCTTTCCATTATAGAAAAGATAAAAGTTATTTTAGGGTGGTTGAAGGGAAAATTTGCCGAATTTAGGGTTTCTGATCGTTTAGCACCTGATCCGTGCAGATCACAAATCACAATAATAAATGATCGGCTGTGCCATATTTATCAGTTGGCTTAATTTGAGAGCATAACTGCATAAGTCATGTCAAATCAAAAAAGAGGAGTGTATGAAAAAGGAGCGGTAAGTTATTAATACATTGTTTTTTATAGACGTAATTATTTATTGATCATAAAATTATATAGCAAGATACAAGTTTCCGTCGTACATGGGATAAAGAAGAATATGAACGTAGAGCACGTGAAAGGGCACGCTTAGAACGCGAGAGAGAGGAAGACGAAGATCGTAAACGCAAAGGTCTAAAACCAAAGCATACTGATGATTCTGAAGAAGAACCCGCACGAGAATTTTTAAGAGCTCGCACGGAGAAAATTGTTTTAGATTCGAATTTGAATAAAGTTCAGGTAGTGCAATCTACTAGTATTGCCTCCAAACAACCTGGCTTTTATTGCAAGTTATGTGATTGCGTTGTTAAAGACAGCGTAAATTATCTGGATCATATCAATGGAAAAAAACGTAAGTATGCTTGACTATTATGATTTACGAAAACTTGAATCAATTATCTTAAACTTTATTTTTTTTTTCCTCTTAATTAACATTTAGATCAACGAAATCTCGGTATGTCAATGAAAGTTGAGCGAAGCACAATAGACCAAGTCAAGAATAAATTAGCAAGCTTGAAAAAGAAAGAAGAAGCACCAAAAGAATATAGTACGAATTAAATTTTTTATAGAACAGTTGAGCAGTTGATTCGCAACTCTTACTCAAATTATATATTTTATTATCATAGACCTTGATGTACAAGTTGAACTATTACAAAAACAAGAGGAAGAAGAGAAAAAACGAAGGAAGGAACGTAAAAGGGCCAAGAAAAAGGGCGAATCAAGTAAAAATGCCGGTAAAGAAGAAGATAATCCAGATGAAGTAGCTGATCCTGAGATGTCGGCAATTATGGGGTACCATATGTTTTCATTTTTAAAATTTCAGCTTTATTTTCTTTATTTTTTGATAATAATTATTAATTTATATTTGTTTATTATAGAATTACTGGTTTTGGTTCTACCAAATCTTAAAGGTCTTCCAATACATATACAAGGTTCGTTCATTATTTATAATGTACGAAATACTATATTTTCTATTAGTATTGGCTCGAGACTAAATATTTAAATTATAGAATTATAGAACAAATATATAATGAAATTATAGAATTTAGGACGTCGTAATTTTGCTGTAAAGAACGAGTAAAATGAACAAAATGGGTTTAGCTATTACTTTCATTTTCGTATGTATTTAGGAAATTTGGATGACATTGCGTATTATTCATATACAATTGACAGAGTCTTTAGGCTTAAAAGAGCGTATTTGTAATTTATGCTATAATTAGTTTATAATATTTTGAAATTTAACAATCCATAATTATAATACTAAAGCGAGATACTAGTAAGTTATTAATTAAAAAAAAAATGATTTTTTATTTAAATTTGATTCGTAAATATAAAAACAATGTTGTCGATCATGTGTTGTACAAACTTAAGTAATTAAGAAGCGTAATTTGAATTATTTATATACATTAAATTAAATAGAAAAGAAAAAAAAAAAAAAAGAAAAATGCCTATATTGCCTACTACTTCACCGCGATCTACATTTCCTTCTGATACACATCATAAAAGAAGGCGACCAACATACTGGTCAGCCTCTATTCCGATATTTTTACGAAGACTATTTAGGTTTCCACAAATGGTATATTTCATTAATAAATTTCGTTCAAGTTTTATTCATGAATTTTAACGATTTTTCTTTCTTTTTTTTTACTTTATGATATGGATTATGATGATATGTTTAGGATTTTGAATTTGCTCTTTGGCAAATGCTTTATTTATGTATAGCGCCAAGAAGAGTGTAAGTTCGTCATTTCTCATTTTTTTATTGGTTGATTTTATTTATATTGATAATTAATATGATTATTTTAACAGATATCGAAATATCTATTATCATAAACGTAAGTTAAAACTTCCAACTCAATTTGATCCATTTTAATGAATTTCCTTTATATTGACACATCATTATAGAAACAAAAAATCAGTGGGCAAGAGATGATCCAGCTTTTGTTGTAATATTATCATTTTTTTTAGGAGGTAAAAATCGACTAATGATTTACCTGTTTTTGATTTTTATATATTTTAAATATTTATATTTATTTTAAAAAATTAGTATCAGCAATTGCATGGGGATTAGTGTATGGACATGGATTCATAGGAATTCTTAAAATGATATTATTTATGGTATTTATAGATTTTGTAGTAGTTGGAATGGTAATTTCTACAATTTGCTGGTATGTTAAAACTTCATATTTCTTATATATATATGTATTTTATTTAAAAAAAAATTTAACTTGTGTGATTTCCGAAAATAGGGCATTTGCAAATAGATTCTTAACACATAGACATACACTTCATGCAGTTGAACAAACAGTAGAATGGGCATATGCATTTGATGTACATTGTAATTCATTTTTCCCTTTATTCCTAATATTATATGTAGCTCAATTTTTTTTAATGAGAGTTTTGGTAAAAGATATTTGGATTTGCTTATTTCTTGGAAATACAATGTATTTAGTTGCAATAGGATACTACTGTTATATTACTTTTCTGGGATATAATGGTAAGTTTTTATCTCAACTTTTTTGGAGCAAATTTTTTCGTATTTTTTAAAAAATAATAATAATGATAATAATAATAATAATTACATATATTGTTTTTTTTTAGCATTACCATTTCTCTTACATACTGAAATGTTTTTGTATCCTGTTGTTATGTTTTTAATCATTTATTTTATATCATTATTTGGTTTTCATATTAGTGCAAATGTATTAAGATTATATTTTGGTGAGTAAGGAAAAAAAATCGAGAGGTTTTTTTTTGTACAAAAAAAGAAAAGAAAAAGAAAAAAGTGAATTTAAAAAAATGGATTAATGAAATTAATGAAGAAATAGACATTTTAGTTAGTTTGAACATTAATATAAAATTAATAATTTTTGTTAAACAATTACTTCCAAAAATTGATTCTAATGTTAATTTTCGCTTATTATATAGAATTATTATTAAAGGGCTTTGAGAGCAATTTTCTCAATAAATAAACTGAAGCAAATAATCAAAATATTAAAACTATTTATTTAATAATATCAAATAATAAAATTAAAAAATTAAAAAAACCGATCTCTATTAATTTTACATTACTACAACAACCTAATAACAAGTGAAACAAATTTACACATAAGAGTGAAGAGTAATAGCAACAATAAAAAAAAATGAGACTAAAAAAATGTGTGAATTTAATCTCTAGGAAGTGCACACATTTCACAAATAGTTGTGTGGCCTTTATTAGCAAAAGTACAATGTCTACAACTCCATTCTGGTGCTGATGCTCTTGATGATGAGCTGCTACTACTACTACCTCCCGGATATGCTAGTCTACCTCCATTTGTTGATGGATGATCTAATAATCAAATAAAGGAAAATTCAATTATTTAACTTATTTGCGTAGAAATATAACTAAATTTAAAAATATTTACCACTTTCTCTCAAAATAGTAACTAATGTTTGCCATCCTGAACTTAGAGCTAATTGTTTTGCATCTTTTTCCTCATGAGAAGTTGCTAATCTTGCTAACGCCGCAAAGTCGTCCTACACAGTTTAAAAAAGTGAGTGAGATCAAAATAACATTATTTAATTCCGTGTTCAAAAATAACTTACATCACTCAATATTTGAGTTTTTTTAATAAAAGTTAAAAGTTGAAAATCTGATACGGAATTAACGTGTACATTCCCACTATCTTTGAGTCCAAGATGACGATACAATATTCCAAAATCCTGATCGTCAAATTCAGGTCGATTTGCAATAGGGAATTGTACTGGTGAAGTAAAGAGTGGTGAAGGGTTGAACGGAAAACCGTGTGTAACCTAAATTGAAAAGAATTATAATATGTATGTATATTTTTTATACTCAAATAATAAACCTGATTGAACTTACGTTAACTAACAAATATTCTACGGGAAAACATGGTTTAGCACTTTCTTGCACATTAACACCATATTTATTTTTATACTTGTAAAATACTTCAGGGACATATCTTTCAGGAGTACTTTCTTTAACTCTCATTATATTCGGATCCACACTTGCTTCAATTATGTCTGCAGAAACCATAGCTGCACCAGTATTTGATACTTGATATGCAGTAACATCAATATCCCCACTTTTATTGCCACTTACAACACAAGTTACAAATCTACTACCAAACTTTCCAGAGGCACTCCATTTTGTACATAATGGATGCTTATTTTGCATGGCTGCTGAGAAGCAACATTCTTGAGAGGTAAGAAAATAGGAGTCGATATGTCGTTTGCAAATTACTTTGCCTTTACTCGTGCCATCATCAGCAAGATCGGTATATATCATTCCAACCTAAAACAAAGATTACTATGATTAAAAGAGAAACAAGATTTTCATATGCAAATGAAAGTAAAAAGGTATACCTTTACTAGACCACAAGCAGCAGCTACTTCATCAACCAAATTTTCCTCCTCCCAGGGAAGAGTAAGCGTCAATCCATCTACTTCACCCTCTTGAGGTGGTTCATAGATAGCCTCAACTACTGCTTTGACTCCTAAAGGAACGTCAGGGTAAGGCTCATATCGACCATATAAATAACCAAATCGTTGCAAACCAGATTTTCTCCAAAAATTAATAAAATTATTAATTAAATCTGATACAGAGAATTCCACGTGATCTACCATACGATATTGCTAAGTTTTCGAAGATATATTAGAAAGGAAAATAAATAATACGAAAAATTTTAATTCGATTCTTACCTGAAGCGCTAAAGTAACAGCACCTGGTTGGCACTTTGTACATATGCCCTCTGGCCATGGAGCGTGGCCACCTGAACAATTTGTTTTTACCCGAAAATCCGGTTCTTCTAATGGAGGAATAAATTTGGAATTCAATTCATTCAATTGCTTATTTGCTTTGTTAATACTTTTTAAATAAGCATGAAATGACATGTGCTTGATTCCTTTTTCCGTTAGATAACCTTGATCGTAAGGCTAGTTACAAAGAAATTGTTTAATTGCATATCTTGACAAGAAATTCTCAAAATGATTATATAATTACCTCTAAAGGCATACAATAATCACACATGCCATTTGCCGAATGTTTACAGCTACAAAATTATAGTTATAACAATCATTAGCAATTTGACGCGTCATAATAGTAATAATTTTCGTGACATGCGACGTACAATTTTGGATCTTTATCTCGTTTTATCAAACCATCTTGTTTTTCTAGTAATTCATCAACTGGATCTTGTCTTACTGATAGATTGGATGATGTAGCTTTCGAATCTGTTTGAATCGTATTTGATCCATCAGTTTCCAGTGTAGGTTCTTTGAATGTCACGAATAATAGATCACCATGTCTTTAAATTGAAGGAATTCGGTATGAATTAGAATTTGAAATCAAAAGATGATCAAGAACGTTATATTTACTTAATTCCTAGTTCTAAAATTGTCTTTCCATTAAGATTCACTATTGGGACAGTAGTATTTGTTGGAGTATCAGAAATCCCAAGTGAATTATAATCTGTTAACTCGAGTTGCTTTGCGATCTATGTAAATTTCAAGTCAATGTATATAACAATGAAATAAATTGAGATCAAATATTAAATAAAAAAAAAAATCTCACCTTCGTACCAAGAGTTAACATATCTTCATTTGGATCAACCTCGAGACGAAATGTACCCTCTTTGGAACGTATACGTACCAACTATGTGAAGTAACCAAATTACAAATTAGTTAATGAAGACAATTATCTAAAGTTCCATAAAACTGTTCATACCATGACTAAATTAGCTCGAGTTTGTTTAGTTGTTATTTGAGTTAAAGAAGAAAAAAATTGACAGTGATCTGTAAAAATATACTCCCAAAATTTAGTATTTATCTAATAAAAACGTAATTACTTATATGAAATGAATACGTAATTGATCTTAGTCATAACTGCGGAGCTTCAGGAATAGTCATATGGCGCAGTCAGATCTACAAGTACACTATATCTCAAAGCGCCATGAATTTATTATTTTCGGATCTTTAAAAGGGTTTCATGCATTAAAAGGTTTAATTAATCATATATAATGAGATTAAATGTTTACTACCGAATTTAATTTTAAGTTATATAAGTCTGAAGTTCATTAATACTAATACATAGTTATCTGAATGTATGCTATTTTAAGTTAGGATAAAAGTTTGTTATTAATCGTTATTAACTTAAATTAATTATATTTCAATGTACATTGGTCGGAGTTGGCCATTTGTTGCTACATTTACAAAACAAAAGAGCTAGATCGCAAATTTAATACGATCAATCTGCAGATGTATAAATTGGAACGTAGCTTTACGTTTGTTTCATAGGAATATATTCATTCTACAATATAAGATGATTGGATTTTTTTTTTTTTGGCTGAGTGGATTAAATTCCAATATTTTTTTATTTTCATTTCATTCCTTTTGAGTTTTGATCCTATATAAAAAAGGATAATGAATATAATACATATGTGATAGTATAGCATCTCATTCCTTATATATTTCGATCATATGCATTTTTTATCTTGACATTTGGAACATAGAAATATAAGATCTTTAATATATAATAAATAAACAATATATCTGAATGTCCTAAATACAAGTTGAGATAATAATAATAATAATACTTTTACCAAAAATATAAAATTATTAAAGTTCAGACACAATCTTTGGAGGTAGATTATTATTATAAAAAATTGTAATGTATTCCCTTAGATTAATCTTGATCATTTCTTCATCATGTACTTGTTTTACGTAATGCCTAAATGTCAAATGTTCATAAATTTTTTCATAAGTAAACGTTCTATTATGATGATCTGGACAGTATTTACAATGATATAAAGAATATTGCCCTAATCCTCTTAACAACGTTTCCTTAACTGTCAAATACAGTCCCGGCTCACATTGTATTCGTGAAGCTTCGTTTGCCAGTCTTGGTAATACTTTATTAAGTAAGAAATTTTCAGTCCAAGAAATTCTTGGATCGCCATTATGATAAGGTGGATTATGAAAAGTAGGACAATGTAAAAGTATATATTCTCTTGGATCGTAAAATCCTTTAATTAAATCAGGTTTTCCTGAAAATGTTATTTGCCCGTTATCTCCAATTCTATTCGGTATATGTTTCGTTCCTCTTATGATAGCTGTTTGTATCATCTGAGACTTATTTAATGTGACTATGATTCCAATCGTTAGTGGATGTAAATTTCTTTTTAATAAAGAATTTGCATTTAATCCAGACGTTAATTGTCTCGCATTAGGAAGTCTTGGTTGTGGCCATATACATTTTACCCATGCACGGAGTGCATTTTGTTTATCAATTTTAGCAGCTAAAAATTCTTTCGTTGATATTCTTGTTAAACCTAAAGATGGAGTTATTGAAATTTCTGAAACCTCTCCTTGATGTGATGAATTATTATCTTTAACTGTACTCGAATCATTTGAAATGATTGATGACGGAGATACTTTTACTGGATTCCTTAATGAGCCTCCTGGTGATTCTACAATTTCATCTTTAAAATTTACTAATTTTTGTTTACCTTTGTTACTAATTGAGGTTGTGGCAATGGACATGTTATAATTTTTAATATTATCTTGCATGGATTTACGTCTTTCTTGCATCTTTATCAAGTCAGCTAAAGTAACGTGAACTACGGGAGGAAAATCTGATGTACTAGTAGTAGCAGTTGTTGTTGTGGAACAAGTTGTCGCGGATGCCACGGATGCTGTATCATCATCATAAATATTGACTCTGTTATTACGAGAAGTTGTATAATTCAAAATTGTATTTTTGTTATCCGTAAAATTTTCTTCTCTTGTATCATCTATATCCCACGCAGATAAAGTTAAAGATTCTTCAACATTCATTGGTACTAAAGAAAATGGCTGTGGAGCTTGTTTTTGATGTCCAATTTCATTATTTACAAGAAAAATTTGTTCTTCTCTAGCCATTGAAAAAGAGTCTGGTGGTTTCCATGATGTATAATTTTTTCCTGCATTTGAAATTTCTGCATTTATTTGATAAGTAGAGGTAGCGTGAGTACTCATTTTTTTTTTTTTTTTTTAACAAAATTAAAGAACAATAAAAAATTAAAAAGTTTAAAAGGTCTAGTCATTAAATAAGCGAAATATTTTTGATGTTGTGTAAAAAAAGGTCTGTTTCACAACAAATAATTTATACAGATTCGGTTTTTGTTCCGTACATTGAAACTATCATTATATTAACGCCAAATAGAAAAAACTGCGTAATATTGATGATCATCCTTAATTTTGTTGGTTTTGTTTCTTATTTGGGTAAATGATCGTAGTACAACTACATGTTGAAGTTTTTCCGGTTGTATATACACCGCAAAATGTATAACGTGGAAATAACCAAAATTTTACTAACATTGGTACTGGGGAACATGTATTTTAATCCATTTTCAGTTATATATCCGGTATCCTATCAGGATCATGATTGTACATTATTTTTATTATTAAGACATAATTACGTTTATTTACTACAATTTCTTCTTGTCCTGGATCAGGTTTATCTTGTAATCTTGTAAAAGAAAGTGTAATATGTTAAATATCATTGGATATGACATATCTATGGTTAATAATATCAAATAAGTATAAATTAAAAAAATAAGTTTGAAAAAGATATTATTTATTTTAGTCCAATTTATTAAACCAAATAAACCAAAAACTTGATTCATCTGATAATGAAGGATATAATTGGTAATCTATTGAAAGTTAAACCTGCGCAATGCGCAGGATGAAACAAAAAAAACTATTATCTGACTGATTATGTGAGGTGAGTCATACATATCAAATAATGATAAGATATGATTATACTATATTAAGAAAGTCCATCCCATATATGGTTCATGTCCTGCGGTTTGGTACATCCATACAATACGTATTTTCGCATACTTCGCCAATATGTGTCACACACAAATAATTAAGTGCGTCAAAGTGCGTCAAAACAATAAGTTTTTTTCTTGGCAAATTCCCACTCCCACACACAGGAAATTTTTTGACAACAGATATAAAAGCGTGTCTCGTTCACTCTAATTTTTGATAAAAAAAAAAAACCTTTAATTTTTGATTTTTATTCTTTTTTATCAAAAATTTTACGTGTTTTAAGTTTTATAAGTCATGTCTTCTATTTTTGACAATTGTTATATTACATTCTCTGGCGTGTTTAATGCTGGTAATCACGCTCTCCTTGGTTCTATTATTCGCGAGCATGGTGGTCAAGTTGCTTCAAGTTTATCAAAAAGGTCTACTCACTTGGTGGTCACCGAAGAAGACTATAAAAAACAAAGTTCAAAGGTCCTAGCTACCAAAACTAAATTTGATAAAGTATCAATTGTAACTTGGAAGTGGGTTGAAGATTCTATCGAAAAAGAAACAAAACTCCTTGAATCAAATTATGCTCCTTCAGATAATACCGATGATATTGATATGGAAGACGCGAATGACGACTCTACTGTAAATAGAAAACATAAGCAAAGTGATGATAAGAACGATCAAGTTAATAATGATGATCAAGATAACAATGAAGTCCTTCCTTCACGAAAACGTAGACGTGTTGCTAAGAAAGATGCGATTAATGACAATGATCATGATCAAAGTACTACTACTGCAACTACTTTAGTTGATACCACTTCAACTATACAAAAAAATACCACTACAATTTCTACTAGTTATCAAGTTGATCAGAATGACGAAGTTGCAGAAACTCGAATTGTCGAAGAAAAAAAAATGGTCAAGGTTGTGCTTAAGGGTAAAGCGCCGGTTGATGAAGCCTTCGATAATAAGAATTCTGTACACGTTTATTCTGAAGGAGAAATTGTTTGGGATGCTCTTCTTAATTGCACCAATATTGGGAATAATAATAATAAATTTTATATTATTCAACTTTTGCAAACCGATTCTTTTAAAGAATACTACGTTTTTAATAAGTGGGGAAGAGTTGGATATTCTAATAATCAAACGAGCTGTTATGGTCCTACCACATCATTGGATCAAGCAAAACGCGAGTTCAACAAAAAATTTAGAATCAAGACTAGTAATGATTGGTTAACTGTATGTCAAGATTTCACTAAATTTGTTCCAAGTAATGGTAAATATACTTTATTGAAACGCGACTACGATGATGATGAAAAAGAAGACGAACAAAAAGATAAAAAAGATAAAAAGAAAACCAAGAATAAAGAAAAAGAAGAATCTAAACCCATTCCAGAATCAACCCTTCATCCAAAGGTTCAAGATATCGTGAATATGATATTTGGTAAGATGTAAAATCATTATTTATATTAAATATAAAAAATTATTTTATTTATTATTAATTCATAAATTATAGATGTGAACCAGTGGAAGGAGGCAATGAAGGAGTTTGAGTATGGTAAGTAAATTAATTTCAAAATAATAAAATTGATATTTTAAAATTTCTTAATTTAACAATTTCCTTATCTCAAATAATTTAGATTCTGTCAAATTACCTTTGGGTAAAATTGGAAAATCCACAATTAATCAAGGATATGGTATACTTAAACGGATAGAATCTGTGCTAATGGGAAAATCTACTGAAAATTTGGAAACTTTGTCTAATAATTTTTACACAGTCATTCCACATTATTTTGGCATGAGAAAACCACTTATCATCAATAGCTTGAATTTACTAAAGGCTAAATTGGAGATGGTTGAAACCTTGGGAGAAATTGAAATCGCTAATTCCTTGAATATTGAACGTGAAGTTGATATCAATCCACTGGATGCTCACTACAATACTCTTAAATTAGATAGGTTGGAACCTTTGGATCATGAATCTATAGAATTTAAAATGGTGGTTAATTATGTTAATAATACGCATGGTGTCACACACTCTCATTTTAAACTTGATGTCTTGGAAGTGTTTGACTTGGAACGTAAAGGAGAAAGAGAAAGATTTCAACCATTTTCAAAATTACATAATAGAGCTTTGTTATGGCATGGAAGTCGTATAACTAACTTTGCAGGGATCTTAAGTCAAGGATTACGTATTGCGCCTCCGAATGCGCCTGTGTCAGGTTATATGTTTGGAAAAGGAGTTTATTTTGCGGATATTGTATCAAAATCAGCGCAATATGTTCATTGTAATTATGGAAGCAACATTGGTCTCATGCTCTTAAGCGAAGTCGCATTAGGAGACATGCTTGAGTTAAACAATTCAGATTATAATGCAGACCAAGAAGCAAAAAAGCAATCAAAACATTCTGTTAAAGGTTGTGGCAGAATCATTCCTGATCCTGAAAGCTTTATCACTTTGGAAAATGGCTGTGTTATTCCTTGTGGTAAAAACAAAGATATATCAGGCGGTGGTCATTGCTTATACTATAATGAATATATTGTTTATGATGAAGCTCAAATTATGCAAAAATATTTGATTAAAATGAAATTTAATTATAATAATAAGTATTATTAGCGAAATTATTTAAATTTGCAGTTAAGATCGTTAAAAATACTTTATTATATTTAGTAATTTTATATTTTTATTCACAATATCTTATATATATTTTATCATAAATTAGTTTGGGGTTTTTTAAATAAATAAAGTAAAAAATTAAGCAACATAAGGATATGTTTTTAAGATATATTAAGTATAATAATTTTTATTAAGACAAATTTTAATAATACATTAAGAATCATAAAATGGAAAACTATGTAATGAAGGAACGATTTACTGATGAAAAATATAAAAATTCTACTTTGTTAATAATAAAATAATAAAATTAATAAAATCCAAATTCTGGTTAATTAAAAAAAAAAAAAAAAAAAAAAAAAAAAATGAAAATAAAGAAAAAATAATAATTTTAGAAGAAAAGTAAGAGAACACGTAAATTTGCGGTAATAGAGGAAAAAATATAATTTCTAAATTAAAGAAAAAAGAAAAAAAAATGGTTATTATAAAAAAGCAAAGTATTACAGTTTACAGTCCGTAATTTAAATAGAGTATTACATCAATTTTTAATCGACATGATGCCAAAGATCTCAAGGTTCTTATTATGGTCCATGGCATATAATGCGACTTTATAAAATAAATAAAATAAGTAAAACTTGCATAAATTTTCAATAAATTTAGCAGAAATTTGGAAAATCTCAACAATATTAACCATATTGGCTATTTTAGTATTTAATAAAATGAATTTTTTTTATTGATATAACTGTTCTGTATATATTATTAATTTAATATTTTACTGAATAACAATTTAATGTCTAAAGTCTAAACCCGATTGTATTTATAAACAAAATCAATAAATAACCAAACAAAATAAAAGAAAAATTAAGAAAATAATCTTTTAACAAGAAAATAATCTTTAAATTCAATTATGGGGAAAATTTTACATATAAAACATCATTTTTCTTAATCAGTTGAGAATATAAATAAATAAATATATATATTTTTAAATATTTATACCAAAATTTTTTTTGTAATAAAATCCATTAGATCTTTTTCCACAAAAAAAACAAGATCTTTTTTTCCACAAAAAAAAAAACAAGATCTTTCACAAAAAATCAACAGAAAATATTAATCTTTTAACAGAAAATAATCTTTTATTAACAGAAAATAGAATATTTGGGAAGAAAAATGACGGAGGATAAAAGAAATAGATAAAAAAACAATATACATAGTAACTAGCTGTCACCCGTTGCTTCGCGCCGGGACCAATGAGTTTTTTTAAATAGAAAGATTTAGTATTATAATGTAATACTAAGTAAATTAAAGAAGTTTTTTGTTTATAATTAGGTAATAATTACTTAACAAAAAATATGTATTAAATTATATTTATAATATTAGAATGATATAAATAATAAATTATTTTTAGAATAATGTATTAATGATTTGATGTTTGAGCGTAGAGTGAAATTCGGATTAATTAGGAATTGTGAAAAAATAATTATCAATAAAAATTGATTAATTTTTTAGAAGTATTCTTGAAAAAACTTAAATATTATGAAAATACTACAAATATTTATATTAATTAATTAATTATTTCTTATTTTTATTACGTCAATCTTAAACTTATAACCAACTTAGGAAAAATATTTGAACATTTAAATGTATTAGAAATCTGTTCATTTCATTTATTATTATTCTCGTAAAAATATCAATTTTTTTTGATTTTTATGAATTTGAAAATCAAACTATTTATCCAGCGATTAATTTAATTGAAAATCTTAATCATCTTACTACATGTTATTATGATTTTTTAAAAAAAAATTGAAAGAAAAAAAAAATTAAAAATAAATTTGGGGGAAAGAAATTGGTTCAAAAAAAGGGAAATTTCTGAAAAAAAAGGAATCTGAAAAAAATAAGTATCGAAAAAAAAAATAATTTTCAGTTTGGGGAAAAGAATGAGAAAAATCAAATTTTCGGTTTGAAATAAAAACTAACCCGAAAGAAGAAAGGAAGAAAAAATTTTTTTCAGTTTGAAATTGTATTAGTTGATTGGAATGTACACGGATAAATAGATCAGGCGGAGGTATGATATGTCACGGGTTTTAATTATATGGCATAGATTTCAAGTTACACAATTCAAATTATTATGCAGAGACTAATCCAAACGTCAGACATTTTTTAGTTTTTTAGTTATATAGATTTATTGATTTAATTACAAAATATCTATATTATTAAAAACAATCTCACAAAAAAAATTCGTTAATATCATTAACTAAAAAAAATCTCACAAAAAGCCATAGGACATAGTTCTATAGTCTTGACCCAAGCCAAAAAAAAAGAATAGACTATTTTTTGGGTTAAAAAAAAAATCCCCTGAAAAAAAATCCAATAAGAATAAAAAAATTTTGGTTAAGTTAACCAAAAGAAACAATAATGATAAAAAGAGGGATAAAAAAATTAATAAAAAAAAAGACTAAAAAGGTAGTTTCGGTTTTTTGGTAAAAACTGAAAAAAATTATTATTAAAGAAATGGTTCGTGGTAACTAAGAGAGCGGAAATGACCAACAAATAAATGCATATACTTTTTTTTGTTAGTAATTAATCCATCAGAATAAAAAAAAATACAAGTTAAAATTTTAATTAACTGTAAATGTATTAGTTTAAAGATTTGTTATCGTAGTCAGTTAATTATGATATAATTATGATATGATAATTACATCGAACGCACACTTTTCAATGTTACACAATTCAAATTATTTATACAGGGTAATCTAAATATGACAAAAATTTTTTAATTAGATAGATTTGAAGATCTTCATCTTCCCTATTTGAAGTATCCCATTTTTTATTCTGACGAATTTTAGATTTAGTAAACCTTTTTCTTGTTCCTTCAAAAATATCGTTTCCTACTTTTCATAATTATAAACTTTTCAAAATTTTCTTTTTTCGATCTTCAACCCATTTCTTATTATAGTTAATTCCCATTCCCAAATCTAAAAATAGATATCTTAAAATTAAACTAAATATAATACTGCGCCCCACACAATAAATTCTCTAATTTCTATTAAAAAAAAAAAAATAGTTTTAGTAATTTCAAATTTCAAAGACATAATAATTTCATAACTTTCACCAGTTTAGATAGTGTTGATATTAGCACGCCCAAAAATAATACGACCATCTGGACGAGAAATGTGTTTTAAGATGTATATGGAGATTTAGGGTTTCGACTAGATTACAACCATTAGATGTGAGGTACTTTATTTATTTATTTGAAACACCCGGACTAGCACAGCAATTTAAAAAAATAAATATTTTAAACTGTTCCGTTAAACAAGAATTTTATTAATAGGAGATACTGAAAAAGAACCAAATTTATATTGAATAGGTGTTTATTTAACTTTAAAATAGATTATTTTACATACAAATATAATTATTGTTTACTCTCTCCCATCACTACACCAAAGAACAAAGTGAACTGGCAGGATGTTTTAGAAACGAGAAATATCTCATCAGACTATGTAAATACAAAATACCCTTGATCCTGGTTGACACGAGTCAAATTATAGAACAAGGTCTAATTCAAGAATTGACTCAGAATCAATGCGAAGTTTGTCTACAATTAAGCACTGTTAAATCAAAGTCTGCTCTTCCTTTATGATTTAATTTTTAAAGGTATGATTACAAAAAGTCACAATTTAATAATTAATGAAAATTGAAAAATCAAATAATTTATTTTATTAATATTTTAGAAAGCCATGAGATAATTTTTTAAATTAAATACGTAAATATGAAATGGAATCAGCGTTGTATAAATAAATAAACGCGTAAAAATAATATAATGTTTATAATTATACAAGTTATTTATAATATATTTTTATATTTTTAGTTCATTTAGTTATTTATAGTTCATTTATAAACAAGTTTTCATAGTAGATATTTCTTTATAATAGAAAGAAAAGATTAAAGAAAAGATAGAAAGATAGAAAGAAAGAAAGATGGAAAGAAACGATAGAAAGATTAATTATTCATCATAATTGACAACTTACTATCAAGAATATTTTAAAAGAATGTTGTTTTCACTGACATTATGAAAAATAAAACAATTAAAATAAAATTGAATTTTTTACTCATTGTAAATTTTCACGCATTAAACTATACTTTTTTTTATAAATGAATTATATTATGATAACAGTTAATAAAAAGATAGAATTATATTAATAAAAAAAATGAATATACTATTAAATTCTATTAAATTCTATTATGTAATTAGACGTGTACTACATGAAAAGAAATTAACCACTGCACTGGGAAACTATGTTACGAATGGAGAATTATAAGATGTATAAAGTCAGTATAATTATTCTTTAATAATAATAATATTTGTAACTCAACTGGCGTATGTTGTTAGTAGGATTAGACTAAACTTCGCTAAAGTTCATATATTTTGATATAATATATCAATTTTTTATGTTCCACTGGGAGCGCCGTGAAAATCACATGCGATACGAACGCCCAAATGTGGAATCTCCAGGGTTTACAACATTTATCCCATTCCTCCCACATGATAGTGCCCCACTGTTTATTTTTACACAAAAGCACCTTCGCTCTTTACCTTTTATTTAAAAAAAAACCTCGCCCTAATACCTTTATTAACATTTTTTTCGCGAAACGCGAAAGAATAAAATTTCTTAAACGTTGCACAAATTTTGTGGCTAGCTGAGCCACAATCGTATTTAAAAAAAGGATGATAATCTACAGGTTAAGTGTGCCATTACTTCAACTTATAAATTAACTCTTGAAGTCTATGAACATTAATGTCAACCATCCTTCTTAATCATTATAAACCAATCTTAATTTAGAGTAAATAAATGTTGTTGATTTAACATCTAATAAATAAGCGATCGTTTTCTTTAGAGAATTCATAAAAATGTAAATAAACAAATCGTCATTACTGTTTATTGATTTGCAGATTTGCAATTATTCCAAATTTGCAAATAATTTACATTGTTTTCATATGATATATACATGCTAACTATACTTTTAATTATTAAAAAATTTTTTTTCTTTCTCCCTACAATGTTATTTTTTATTCTTTTGATCTTTATCGGATATTACTTTCATAAATGTAGACCTGACGCAAACTCTTTTAGAGAATACATATTGACCAATAATTCTAATTCCTCTTCTTCGTCTTCTTCTTCACAAGAATTATTTAAATTTTTTAACAAACTTTTAGTTGGACAACCAAGTGTTCCAGAATTCAAACTTGATGACTATTATTGTTTTACTGTCGTAACATTCAGGGATGGAACGGCAACTTATGTAGGTTTTCTAAATAAATGGTATATATGGAGCAAGATTGAAGTAGTCGGTTCGAAAGGAAGAGGTAAAAAAAAGAATTCAGTGACAGAAATGCAAGTCATTGAAGGGTTAGCTTACGAAGATAAAGAAGTCGCTATAAGAGCCAAAGGAAAGAAGGATTGTGTGTATCATCTTTGAAGAGCGTTTTTATTATAATTTTTGTTATTTATGCAATTTTTTTTTTTTTTTTTTTTTTTAAAAAAAAAAACAGATCATACGGCAGCAAGATCATTTTTATCAGCGGCAAAGCAATTCAAAAAAATCGGTGATGAATCTAATCTTCTCGAAGCCGCAAATTGTTATGAAGATGCTTACAAAGCCTTTCAACAAGTAAAACAGAATGGTATTTTATAAATATAAAAAAATTATTTAATTGGTTTATTCGGTTATCGTCAAATTTATGTTTACCGTTTTTTTTTTCTACAGATAAAGCGCTTGAAGCGTTGGAGACGGCAGCTTCTATTCATGAAAAGAATATAAGACAAAGCACTCGTGCAGCACGTATATACGAAATATTAGCGGATCAGTATAAAAAATCGAACAGTTCACAATATAGTTTGGAAAAAGCACTTAAAGTACGTAACACTTTTTATCAATTTACCAATAAAATAAATTATTTTAATATATTTTATTACACACACACACATATATATATAGATGCATCGGAAAGCTGCTGATCTGTTCGAACTAGACGGTGATGGGTAATATATTTTAGCAATATCCTAGTTGCCACAATTTACAAATTAAATCATCTAAACTTTAATTTTCGCGTTTTTTTTATAGCCGTTTCCTATTTTCTTTAATATCGCAAGCTGAATTATCTGCTGAAATTGGATATTATGAGCAAGCAATAGATCTCTTTGACAATATAATGACACTTTCAGTAAATGATTCAGTGCTTAGTTATAAGACCAAGAGTTATATTTTTTGGCAGTGTCTTTGCATCATTGCTTTGGATGATTGGGTGAGACTTGAGAAGCAATTCAAACAATCTGTTGAACAATATCCGAGCTTTGCGGATAGTAGAGAATGTGCTTTTATAAACGTAAACTCATTCATAATGTCATTTAATTAATTATTATTAACGTTGCGATTTATTTTAATACATATATTTCTTTTTATAGAACTTGATTCAATCCAAAAATTCTTGTGATCCATCTGAATTTTCCACAGCTTGCAAAGAGTATGACCAACTTACAACATTAACACCATGGCAAACTCATATTTTACTTGAAGCCAAAAAAGTTTTAGAAGTTAAAGATCTACGATAGATAATTATTCGAATATTCAAATTATTATTTATTAAAATAGAATTATAATACATTTTATGAACATTCATTAAGCTTGACATTTTGACTAATTATTATTAAAATTCATTATACACCAACTCTATATTCATAAATCTTTTTTGCATAATAAGCTCCAACTCCAACTGATAATACACTTAATGAAAGAGTAATAGGTTTTTGGGTCTTTATAGCACGAGGAACCATGCTAAATGCTAATATAGTGGATGCAGCTTTAAAAAAAAAAAAAATTTAATTATCCGAGCTTAAGTTTCCAAAAAAAAGCGATTTTTTTTTTTTTTTACCTAGAGCTGTTTCATGCCCATAATCTTTATTTTTTTTGATGATATATCTTTAAAGCATTAAATAAAAGTTAACTTAGTCAAATTACAATGAATCTCATAGGTAATTCAGCATACCCAGCAATTCCATATAAAGTTCCAACTCCTACTCCTGCAATTAGCGAGGGCATTGAACGTGCTTTAGAATAAGCGGCGATACCTCCAATGCCACCTACCGTGTAATAAATGTAAAAGTAACTATTTTTATTATTTTTATTAATTATAGAAGAGTAAATAATAGCATGAAACTTGAAAAGTTGAGATTAAGACGATTAAGACTGGTCTAAGATTTTGTTACCCGTAAGGATAATTAAATTAAAACATACATATAACTGCCATTGTATAAGAAGGATGGTGCGACATTTTTTTTAAAAAAAAATTTATATTAATAAAATAAAGTATTAACAGTTAATAGTTAATAGTCGAAATAGTGATTTAAATCAAAATCAAAATCCATTCGCAAATTACGTTTTCAGCTTGTCACAAACGTGTAATCACCCAATAATAATTATGACCGAATTTTTTCATAGTGTGGTGTGTATATATATTATGTAATTATTTTCTAAGTAGCTTAACATTTTAGTATTTTGTTTTACTATTTTTTAGTGAAATCAAATAATTTATTTTTTTCTTAAATCAAAATTTCTTTATGGAACCAGAAGCCACAACATCACATACTTTTCCTTTTAACAATAATGAATCAGAAAGTTTATCACTCTCGACTTATTTAAACTCATGTCCGAAAATTTTTGGATATAGGTTAAAAGAAAGTGCACAACAAGAAATACTGAAAAGACTATTCTCAGAGCTATGGAATTCGAATGAAGACCATAGATCTTTATTTTTTCCAAACGGTTTTGGTGAAGGACCTGATGCGTATAAATTGAGTCTTTCACAAGGAGAAGAATATTCACCAACACAAAAAGGAAAAGCTTGTGGTCACGTCTTTAGAAAAGGAGAAGGTGTCTATCGATGCAGGTGAGAATTTCATTAGATAATTAGAGTTGGATCGAGTGGGAGTTGGTATGGGAATTGCCAAATTATATCTGATCAAGGATCTGATTTTTTTTGGTTGTTTGATTCATTTGTTATACTCTATATGAATTGTTTCACAATAACATAATTAAATTGTATCAGATGAATTAAAAATTATTTATAAAATTAAATACCACAAGATTATTTTTTTTATTCGAAGAATATTTCTAACGCAGAAAGATTATAATTATTGTTATTGCGTAGAAACTGCGCACTAGACGAAACGTGTGTCTTTTGTTCTCGTTGTTTTCATGCCACTAATCATGAAGGACATGACGTTACTTTCTCTGTGAATTCTGGATCTGGCAGTTCTGGTTGTTGTGACTGTGGTGACCCGGAGGCTTGGAAGATTCCTATACATTGTGCTTATCATTCACCAGATGCTTCTTCACCAGATTCAAGTGAATTTGAACAAATACAATATGAAGAAATATTACCTGATGATCTGTTAGATTCCATTCACGTTACTATTTCTACTGTCCTTGATTTCATATTGGACACTTTATATGCTTCCCCTGAGGAGATGTCTCCCCTTAGTGAGGAAGAAGTCAGAGAGGAAGCTAAACGAGCTGCCAATTTTATTAGAGATCCTATAAATAATGTTGATGAGGAGAAATTATTCGCGGTTGTACTTTGGAATGATGAACATCATTCTTTTCACGAAGTGATTGAACAACTAATGGATGCAACCAGTTGTAGCAAAGCAGAAGCAAAAGCAATAGCTGAAAGAGTTGATTCTTATGTACGTAATGTGGCTAAATTTGTATTTTTGTTGTTAATATATGTCCGATGAAAAAATCATTTGTTTTTAATATGAACGTATTTTATATTTTTAATCAGGGACGTGATATTGTTCAAATATCTGAAGATATACAACGTCTTCTTAACATAGCACGTGCAATAACATCGATAGGACTTGCTGTTACTGTACGTTCCGCGCGTGATACTTTCCGTGAAGGAATGTGTGGTCTTTTCATTGATTGGTTAAAAGATCTTGCAGGAGGCAAAATTGGTTCGAATGTTACTATATTGAGAAATATAATTTGTGAAGAATTATGTAAAGAATGTAAAGTATGGAATAAATCTCGTAATGCAAAACGAGCAAAGATTGATGAAAAATGGAGGATTCTTAATGATATTGGCATAGGGGACACACGAAATGGTGAAACAGAAGGCACCACAAGTGAATATATGAGTGATGATGAAATGGTAATGATTGATGATGACAATGAAAATAATGAAGATGATGCTTCTAACAATTATAAGCGATCCTCAGAATTTAGCGGTGATTATGATATATCAATGGAAGAGGATTCTAGTGATACAATTGAACCAATGGATGAAGATGAATCTATAATATATCGTGGAACCTCTTCATTGATGAAAACAGTAGAAGATTTTAAAAAAGAGTTGCGATTGGATAGATTGTTGATCTTAGATTTAAGGCTTTGGAAAGAAGCAAGAGCCGGATTAAGGGAATTGTACATTGGAACATTAGTAATAAATCCAGAGTACAAAAAAATAATGGGTATATTTTTTTTTTTTAAAAAAAAAAATATATTCTTTAATTTACTTGGTTTTTTTTTTAATTACAATTCAACATTTATTTGCCTTTAGGTATCCGTTTTGCTCGCAATTACGTTAACCTTGCAAAAGCATTTCTTACTCCTGACCGCGAACCTGAACATTCAATTATTCTTTTTTCTGTTCAACTTTTTACTGTTCCCACTATTTCTACAATTCTTGTCACCCAATATAAATTCCTTACGACAATTTTTACTATACTTCATACATTTTTTACTTCCAACGCTGTTGGAGATGATTTAGATAGCATCGATCTAAATGCTAAAATCGATTGTGATTCCGAGGCCTTCAAAAATCGCCGTTACTTTCATGTATTTCAAGATCTTCGTTATATTATCAGTAATGATTCTGTAGAAAAAACTGTGCCAAAAAATCCTCATTATTTGCAACAATACCTGAATCTAATCGCATTATTTCATGGAATGAATCTAAACATTCGTGCAACTCAACAACATGTTGAGTATGAAAATGATAGTTGGGTTAATGCATTTAACGTCACTTTGCAAATTGCGAAAAGTTGCCGTCAATTTTCTGAATGTTATACTGGTAATACCAGAACACTGTGTGTAACAATTCGTAAAGTTTTAAGAAAATTGTACGAATTAAGTTCAAGGCGTGATAACGATGATGATGATGATGATGATGATGATGATGATAAAATGGACGAAACTTGCGATGCTCAACATGAAACTCCTTATCACTCTAGTGTTTGGGGAACATCTACACCTGGCTCATATGGTCCTTTCGCAAAATTTTCAGATGAAGAAAGCGAAGATAAAGAGAGCAATCTTTCGTCGTTGCGGGGAACTGAATTTCATGATGTGATATTTCATCAAAGTCCTTATTTTCTTTCATTTCGAGTTGTTAAATTTGAAGTTGCTTCACAACCCGTTAGCTTTCACAATCCTTTACATTGGTTTTTGGCCGAATTATTGGAAAATGTTAATTTATTGGATGACGAGTTGTTAATACAACATGGTTTTGGTAATTTCCAAAGTATGATAGGTCTCGATACTGAAAGCAATGAAGAAGTGGTTCAACGTGTTAAAGAAAAAATTTTAGGAGTATTTGACTATCCATTACGAGGTAAGTTACAATTGTTAATCACGATAAATAATAAAACTATAATAATAATGTTTCTCTTTTTGTTTGGATCTTTTATAGTATTAGTTCTATTAGTACAAATTCGTGCTGGGTTATGGGTACGAAATGGATTTGGAATTCGTGGTCAAGTACGTATAATTTTTGAAGTATTATATAATTTTTATTTTATGATTTAAATCTTATTATTTTTATTCATTAAAGTGCCACCATTATCGTGAAATTTCTCTACGTGAAAATACTTTTGATGAGGATATATTCTTATTGCAAACAGCTTTTATTATATTAGATCCAAATATAGTTCTTGCCACTATTTTAGATCGGTTCGATCTTGTGGAGTGGTTCAACGGCGGAACTGATCATAAAATATATGATAATTCACAATTGACCTTTATTTCTGAAGAATTATTGACACTTTTGATTATATGCGTTAGCGAGCGTTCAAATGCAGCTGGATTGACCATAGAACAAGAAATTAAAAGAGAAATTATTCATGGGCTTTGTTTAGGACCAATCGCTTACTCGGAGCTTATAAAACGTATACCAGAACGTTTAACACAAAATTCAATGTTTGACGAGATATTAGTCAAACTTGCCAATTATAGAGCACCAGATAGTTTGACTGATCATGGTATTTATGAGCTTCATGACGAATATTTTGATGAAGTTGACCCGTATTTTGTTCATTATTCTCGCAATAATAGAGAAGAGGCTGAGGAAGCTTTGAAAAGTAGATTAAAGAAAAAAGATGGAACTCACTCTACTCCATTGTTAATACCAAAATTGCTTCCTATAAAAAGTGGACCATATACTAAACTGGGTAACATTTTACATACACGTTTGTTAAATCAATTAATTTATTATGCACTTTTGCATGTAAGAAATGATGAAAAGATAAAATCTGACACACTTGTAGAAGAGGCATTGCATTTGATAATGTTGGCTCTTTTAGATGAAAATAATAATATCGTTGGAGAAAGCAAACGGAAGGGGAAACAAAAGGCTACTGATACTTCTATTTCATCAGATATAGATGAGGAAATGACAGGTTTTATATATTATGCAGTATCTGACTTTTTCCAAGTGGATATGAAACCTCAGGGTACTTGTTTATTGGATCTTTTATTACAACTTTCTTGTGAACAAAATTTCAAAGAATTTCATAATAAGCTAGATTTTATTATAAGTAAATTTGAACAATTTGGTAGTGATAGTGTAAAAATAAAAATAGATCAGCATCGCGAGAAGGTACGTATCGATTTACAATCAAAAGGAACCGAGGATAGTGAACTTTCAGAGTATGAACGCAAGAAACAAGCAGCCAGAGAGAGACAGAAGAAAATTATGGAGCAATTTGCCAAAGCTCAACAAAGTTTCATAGAAAAACATGAAGATTTATATGAGGAATATGAGGATATGGAAGAAGATTGGGAGCATCCTGCAAGCGAAGTACAATCAGGAACTGATTCTTCAAAACCGATGGAAACAATTTGGTCGTATCCTGCAGGAACTTGTATAGTGTGCCAGGAAGAAACAAATGCATCTTCATTATATGGGATGCTTGGATTAATTCAACCATCATCATTATTACGTCGTACTCCATTTGATGATAAGGATTATGTTTTTGAAGTTGTTAATTTACCTGAAAATTTAGATTTCACTTATGACCGATCAGTTCCATATGGGGTTGCATCCTCAATTTATAATAATGATGCAACATCATCATCTGAACCCTCGCACTTAAGTAAAGGATTTCCTTCAAAGTCATGTCGACAGGGATTATATGCTTCTACCTGTGGGCATTTAATGCATGTGAAGTGTTTTGATACCTATTTCGCTTCATTGGAACAACGACATCAATTACAATTAGCAAGGAATCATCCTGAAGATGTCAAACGCAAAGAATTTATGTGTCCATTGTGCAAAAGTTTGGGTAACGTTTTATTACCGATAATTTGGAAAACTAAAAAGGAAGTATTTCCAGGAATATTGGACACTCAAGAAGACTATGATACTTGGTTACGTGATAAAGTTGGTCCTGGTTTGGAGAAATTGAAATCATCCTTTTCTGCGGGATCAAATTTACCATTTTCTCATAATGATCCAAATAATTATACAACTTTCACCACCGGAACGCCTATCGATGCGAGAGAGATGTCCACTAATACAGGTTTTTCAAACTTTACTCAAACCCAACAAAGGCGACGAAATAGTAGTATTAGGGATGCACTTACTCAATTTGTACACATGTTAAGAACTCCAGTTGCAAACCAGAATAATGACGAAAGTGGCTCTTCTACAGCTGTTTCTGATGACTTTTCTGTCCAGGGATCATCTACGAGAGAAGCGTCCGCAGTTTCTGATGACGAAGATCAAGAAAGCATTCGTCGTATGTACAATCGTTTGGCAGATGTTGTGCAAATGGCGTATCGAAATATAACACCGGAAATTACTTTCCAAACTGTGCCATTAAAATCTATCGAATATATGTGGGATTTATTCGGCTACACAATCTCATGCATTGAAATAGGCCAGCGAGGGATTGGTAAAACTACAAGCGAAGGTCTTGTTGGACCGACATTAATAGATGGAATCAATTCACAAACATTAACACTATTAAGAGTTCTCTCAGAAACAATATTTACTTATATAAATACAATGCTAGTTGGCCAAACTGGTGAATTTGGATTGAAACAGATAACTTTACATAGGAATCAACAAATATTTTATGGTTATCCATTGTTCCAACAAGAAGAAAATGTACAAAATATTGGATCAAAACCTTTTGCTGATGATAAAAGGAAAATGATTGGGCCATATGGGCCAAGCTTTTTGTTTACACAGGTTAAACCTTTATTACTTGAAGATCCTTTCTTTGTTCTTGTAGAAATTTGTGTGTGCACAGCTTCTGTGACTGAATACGAGGTATATCATATGATGCGATTGTTATATACGGCCGAAATTGTTAAAGTAATAGTGTCATTGATCGAATCTGCTATCAATGATAAAACAAAGGAGTGGATAGATGATGATCGAGTTAAGAAGAAATTTAACGGATTACGAGATACTTCAATAAGAGATTTTGTTATATGGGTTGCAAAACAAGTAGGCAACAATGAACATGATATCGTAAAATTTTTGGATGGAATCGATGAATCGACTTTTATAAAACTTATTAAGACATTCTGTTTACCTTATTTGAGAAAATGTGTCATTCTTTTGCATGCAATGTTTGGAGTTGCATTTCCAAAAGGAGTTGATACAGATGAGACTGAACTCACGAGATTAACCAAATTGCTTGGATTTCCTTCAGTAGAACATATTTGTTCAATACCTACCACATCAGCAAACGATATAACGATGTTGTCGGTTATTTCGGGATGGTGTAATCATTTGTATACGCTCCGACAAGTGCCGCCATCTCCAATAACACCATCAGGAACACCACATGATATAAGTATGATTCACGGTCTTCTTGTATCAAGTGGAGTAACTTCGGGTAACTCACAAGCGCCACAAGAACATCATCAGTTATATCAAAAAATTGATGTTAAAGTCAATCATCCAGCTATATTTGAACTTGTAGGTTTACCAAAGAGATTAGATTCTTTATTTGAAGAAAGCCTGAAGAAAGTTTGCAAAAAATGTAAAACAGTGCCACATGATCCAGCCTTATGTCTATTGTGTGGTACATTCGTATGTAGCCAAAGCTACTGCTGTTCAGAAAATGATCGTGGTGATAATGATCGAGGTGAATGTAATCTTCATACAAAAAGGTAACCAATTTTAATTATTTAATGTCTTCCGCTTCATATTTCATTATTGTGTTTTAAGTTTAATAATTTCTTCATTTTTTTTCATAGTTGTGGTGGAGATATAGGGATTTATTTATTAGTAAAGAAATGTGTAATACTTTTACTTCATGTTGATAACGGTTGTTTTATGAATGCACCGTACCTTGATACACATGGAGAAACGGATCTTGGATTAAAGTAATATTATCATTCTAGTTTAGCTTATTGACTTTAATTATTATTAACTTTCATTTACTAAACATTTTTTTATTTATTTAGGAGAGGAAGACCACAATTCCTTAATCAAAAACGATATGATGAAATTCGTAAATTATGGTTAACGCATGGCGTACCGATACATGTTGCAAGAAAGATTGAACAGACATTTGATTTAGGGGGATGGCCAACAATGTGAATATATAGGAACTATAATTTTTTTTTATTTAGTTTTTCTTTTATTAATTTTATTAGGTTATTCTTTCTATATCAAAGAATGCAAAAAAAAGTTATTTCTTTAATTTTATGAGATTAAAAAAAAGCTATATAATTTTCTTTTGTATTTTAAACCTTTTGCTATATATAATAAAAATGATTCACTTCGTTGAATTTAGATAGCGTAACCACCAAAAAAATCATGAATCACGTGTTCTCAAATTATTCATCTCATTTTTTTAGTTGTTACGCTTGGAAAAGATATATCACTTTTTATTTCATATCCAATATTTTTTTTTTTATTGTACTATTTATCTTATATTTATTTTCATAACTAATATAGTTAATTTAAGCCTGTTGGTAATTCAAATATAAGATCGCTAAATTGCTAAATTTCTAAGTAAATTACTTAATACAGATATATTAGTTAAAGATCTTAAAATTAATTATATTTACATTTTAATAACAAGTAGTTTAAAAATATAAAATATTTACTAATTTCTATTCTAAGACCTATTTATCTGTCTTTTCAGAAAGATTGTTCGATGACCTATGCTTTTTATTTCCCTTTCTTCACTTTGAGAATCAGAATCCGGCTTCTGTGCCTCCTCCAACAGCCATACAATATGTCCGAGAACCTTTTCCACCTTAATTTGCAAATTCTCGTCGTTATAAACAACGACCACTGGTTCCGATAGTTTGAAGCTCGGCCAACTTGATCATCCCATCGAGCATCCATGAAATAGAATTTTTCGGCATCAGTAACTATCCCAAAAACTTTCCGAACGTCTGACCCTCCTCCATTTCATTGTCCTTGCGCTTACGATTAAATAAAGATGACTCTAGCTGGACTGCACATTTGAGCAACGCCTTTCACAAAATCATCTTTTTTTACCTCCGTGACCCTAACCGTTTATGCTGTTTGGCGCAAGTCAATCGCGAAATCGAGAGGTCCGTACCCATTCGGTCCTGAAATAACTTTTTGAGGGTGGATCTTCCCCTTGAAATTATTCGCTCCAGCAAGCAAGAATAGACGTATAATGATTTCGTGGCTTCGATTGAAAGTAAACTGAATGGGAGTGTTGTCGAGGCGGGATTTTAATTCTACCATGAGTCCGTTCAACGATTCCTGGGATGGTTTAATGTTACCGCACGAAAAAACAGGGAAGACTACAATCGTTGTAGTGTTTGGAATCGAATATATTCGAATATACTCGAGTATTCATTTAAATTTATAAAGTGTATTCGAATAATATTCGAATAAGTTAAATTTTCTTTTATAGTAATGATTTACATAATTTTTAGCCCGAATTATGATTTTAACTCAGTTAAATTTAAGGATTTAACGCCCAATTAGAATTTTAACTATACTATATCTGGCTAAATGAATACTCGAATAACCATTCGAATACTCGAGTTATTCGAATAACTGTTACATGATTCCAAACACTAAATTGTTGGATCCTCCGTCTCTCCATCAAGATCGTAAAGCTGACACACTTTTGGGAACGTCCAATCCGAAAAAACTTTCAAGGGTGTTTCTATAAACTTGAGATTGTTCTTTGACACGAACAGCTGGAGCATTTCACGAAGGTCTTGATCGTTTAGGGGGGAGTATTTTCCGCTGTCATTTATTATGCTTAGCACCGCTCCATCATTTGCAAGTGCCGGTGGTTTCTCCATTTTACGTATATACTTTTTGAGGTTATCGAGGGTCGCATTGTTCGATATTCATGGTCCACTTGAAAACCCTTCGTTCGTTTAGGACTAACGACAAACAGGGCGGACATCCCCATATTATCAAGATATTGCCGATCATTTTGCCGATCACTCGTCCAATATTATCACAAAAAAATACCGTTGAATTAGTTTTTTCACAAATTCTACATAATAATGTATAAAATTTCGATTTTATTTACTTTATTTATTTATTGTTAATAAATTAGTTCTTAAAATAATTCATAAAGATTTTGTCAAATATCAAACATATATCAATTTTACAATAATTGTAAACATTTATTTAATGATAACTTTTGGGTTATAAAAAATTATACAGGTTTATTTTAGCCATTGATTCTTGAATACCTAAATAATATACTGTAAAAGTTTCAAGTTTCGCCCGAAGATCTGTGGCTTCGCCGAAGCTTCAAAGTCAGATTAGCAGATGATCGGCATATATATAGCATATATATTAATTATTGAAAATTTGACGTAAAACCTAACTTTGGAAACACACCTTATTTTTCCACAATACTTTTATATTAAATTATTGATAAATGAAACTATTAAATAAAATAATTTAACATAAATTGTCAGAACATTTATTGCTTGGAATAAAGCTTCAAATTTAACGTGATATCACTTATACAAGTGATCGACATTGTGATATAATGCATGTCCGCCCTGTTACTAACGACAACGCATAGCGGACATCTCTATTTTATCACAATACTGATGATTATTTGTTGATCATTTGCCGATCATTTATTCAATTATATCCCATAATATAAATACCGTTGCTAAAAAAATTTACATAATAATATATGCTCAAATTTTACAAATAACTTAAATTTGGTTTTAATTTATTGCATATTAAATTTCATTAGAAACTTTTTAGCTTTTATTAATATTTGGCATATATTTATTCATTTTACAAAATTATTCACTAAATATGTTACTAATAAAAAACCTGCATTATGAATCAGATCACTGCATTATTTTTTTATTGATTCTAGGAATATTTGTGCAAAGTATTGAGTTTCGCCCATCTCCGCCCATCAAATTTTGTCTGATGATCGGCAAAAACTTATGAATTATCATATATGAATAATGTGTTATAAAAATATTAAAAAATTATGCTAACAATTATATAATTAAAATTATATGATAATCCAATGCTTAGCTTAGATTTCCATAATTTTTTTGCCACATTATTTTGAAAATATTTGTGGCTTTTGCAATAAATTTTAAAATCCGGAATTATGTGATCGGCAATGATCGGCAAGGTGATATAAACATGTCCGCCATGCTGTCGAACGCTATAATGCAACAACCTGGTTAGATCCTGGCCAGGAAAAAAAATTACGCATGCTGAGTCAGATGTATTAGCAACACAGGTTTTCCGAGATACAGATATCGGTAATTTTCAAGCTGAATGTATCATGATTTGATTAAATTTTATTTATAAGCATTTCATATTACAAGCTAATGTATAATACTTTTAAACTAGCTGGGGAAAAAGAAAGAAATTATAAAATTAAGAAAATGAGAAGAAAATAGTAAGAGGAGGGAGGTTTAACTAATTTAAAACTTGAAATAAATTGAGCTACTAGAATTCTAGTTTGCTATCTCTGCAACTAATAGTGTAATCAATTATTAAAAATAACTTTCAATACAAATTTTGTATATATTATAAGATAATGATATAGTTGCGATAAAAAGAAAGAAACCGGGTTTTCTGTTACGAATAGCAACCGAAACAATCGTAACAAGTAGAAAAGTCCCTAGTATTTTCCCTTGAACGTCGAGATCTACTTGAAAAGTGCTTTGTAATTGAGAGATGTCTTCATTTCTTTCATGATTAAATTGTAAAGAAATATTATCATAATCGTTGGTGAGAATTATGCTGAGATTTGTTCCAGAACTTTTCAAGTATTCCACTCCTAAAATGTTTACGTCCGTAAAGTGGGAATTGATGGGAGGCAAGTAAACGACAGTACGTTTGTTGTTTATGAACACTTGATAAATTGGTGTGCGAGATTGTAGTTTGAAAGATTCGTACACTTCTTCGCAAATGTATGTTTTTGGGGACCCAGTGTCCAGTATAAAGTGGACGTTTTTTGTTTTTTGTTTGATAGTAACCGGTAAAGAGACGATGACTCTTAAATTAGAGCCGAATATCACGCCGTTTGTTTCCTTTAATTCTGTTTGTTGAGTATCCGATAAGTATTGAATTTTAAGATCTTTAGATATTGTTTCATGGAGGTCTTTGGAATTGAGATCAATCAAGAGAAGGTCAAACATATCGGCAGGATAATCATCATTCCCAAGCATCTTGTAATATATTTATATCTACAGCGGAGTTTAGAAAAGTTTTTAATTTATCTTTATCCATGACGAAAGTTTATTTTATTTTCTAAGTCACGTTCATTAATGGATCATCTCGTGATTTACATAACCAATGAAAATGATATGTAAAGCCATTTGACTCAGTGTGCCAAATTGCTGCCTGGTCACATAATATAGTCTTACCAATATAAGTAAGATTTTGGCACTTCTCTGTATTTCACTGCACGTGTCAACGGTGATTTTCTCAGCGAATATCAAATATATTAAAAGGATTAGGGATGGTAATATGTCCGCTTTGACTTTGAGCATCTATAGAGCCGGAAAATTTGATTAACATCGTGTTGATGTTCTTTTCGAAGCTAGCCGAGCAATAAAACCAACCTACCTTATTATAACTTTGCGGAAAAATTTGATTGTTGATTTCGATGATGTTAATAATGGTAAGTTTTATTTTTCGCTTGATCTTACGCAAGTCAGATAAAAGATTCACTTACTGGAACATTACCTCTTTATATAATTCGCAGGATCGATTTTGGAATACGCTTTTGGCGAATATGAGTGCATCCCAAAAATCTGATCAACAGATCCCGCTTAAAATCATAATAAAAACTTTAACGATACCCATATACAAGAAGGTCTTTTTTGTTATACATAAATCTTTGAGTATATGCGAGAAAATACTTGTTCCCGTGATACATATTGTCATTTCTAACATTACTGCACATTTATCAATGATAGTTTGAAACTTGTTCGAGAAATTTTAGCATACACAATTCCCTCAATCACTCAACCGACACCATATGAAAAAAATATAATGTCTGGTAAATCTAATTGTGCCTTTGCTTTAGCCTTAGCCCGCTACATGATGATGCTATTCTAAATTAATTTATTCAGTTTTACAAGATAATCCACTAATAATTATACCTTCCAGAATTCTGTAATTTCGAAGTTAATAAAATTTTTTTACAATAGTAAATCTGACATTATCCATCGGAACTATATTATTACGGATCTAAACCACACTGCATCATAGGTGTAACCGTGAAGATTCTTCACGATCAAATCATCATACAGTATAATCTTTGAAAACAATTCCCTCGAGAAATGAACAGAGTTACACAAATTTTTTGACCATGAATTGTGAGTGAACTCGAGAACATTCACATCGCTTATATATTCCTTCCGCCACCTTCTTACACCTTTTGCAATACAGATGTGAGTGATGATCGCATTCCTTACAAACCTTACATCCATGCTTAAATATATGCCATTTTTAAAAGTAGTTCTGCCTTAGCAAAGCTCTTTATAAGCTGTACTATCCTGATTGTTTATTAAGAAATTTGGAGATATATAAGTATTAATATAGTCAAAAAAAATTCTTGTATGACCAATATACCTAAAGTAAAACATTCAAATATTGATAATAACAAAGCTGTTAGAACTTTTGGTCAGGAATATGAAGCAAAAGAAGCTGGTAAAGACTCTTCCTCAACAACAAAATGTCCCAGTCATAAGTCTAAAGTAAATAACCATATATTGATATGTTGGAACTTCTGGTCAAAAGTGTAAAGCAAAACTGCAAAAGAAGCTAGCAAAGACTTTTTTTCAACAGTAAAACATTCTGCTTGCAAATGTAAGAAATCATAAATAATTTTAATAATAAAAGAAATTATTAGAGCATTTGAATGTTGGTACTTTGTTTTTATTTAGCTTTAGTTATATTCTCAATGTATTCTAATATTTTTATTTATATATTTCCACTTTTTTTTCTTTTAAGTTTTTTGGATTTATTTTTTAGTAATATTTTTAAATTACAATAAATTATATTTTAAATTATTTATTATAGTAAAAGATATATTATAAAATACAAATTTACTTAAAAAATATTGCAAGTTTATAATGATTTTATTTTAAATATTATACGAAAATATGGTACCAGAAGTCTATACTCAACAATAAAAATGTAACACTTAAAAATCTTTCAATTCCTTAAAAAAAATACAATTTTAAAAAAATAAACTGGTAACTTTATTCTTTGAGGTAAACTCTATCAAATTACTGGTCAGATTTTTAAAAGAAGATTTATGTAAAAAGTTATAAGCATTTGAAATTGCATGATTTCATATAATCAGTCCAAATTTAAAACAAAATATGTTGGCCAGAACTTATGATAATTTGGGCTGACTCCATGCGTTGTATTGTAATAATACCAACTTAAATTATTATAATATGAATCAAATGTAATTCTTTAAAAAAAAAGGTAGTTGTGATTTATTGCTAAAATTTACTTTTTCTTATATTTATTTTGTTTGTAATAATAAATTTTCAAAACTGCATTTTTATTAATACTTTATACAAAGAAATCCAATTTTTTATTGGCTGAATTCTGAATCACATAATATAAAGGATTTTATAAAAAATCGCCATAGCGATGTGTCGCAAGTGTCACGTGACTTTACATATGTGAATAATTTGTCACCCCGCGTCACATCCTCTAGTTTTCCATTTTTATTATTTATTCTGGGGACTTGAATTTTTTCAGTGCAAAAAATACTATTTGTCACTCCCTATACATCACATGCTTAATCTCGGCCAAATTTTATAACGCTGGCCAAAATATCCTTTTTTGGAGATTTAGATAACGTTACACAATCCAAAAAAGGCAATTTTATTTTTCAGCAAAATTCAAGTTTTTGTTACGCAAAACTTCCAAAAAAGGAAATTTCTTTGACGATCTTTTAATTCCGGCCGGAATTATAAAATCACGTGACACTGCGATGCATCGCCATGGCGATAAAAAACAAAACCCTAAATTTAATGTATATCTTTAAATAAATACTGGATAACTCCTTTAGCTTTATCTTTGATAATCCATACATTAAGAAAAAAACTATAATAAATAAGTACAGTAGATTTATAGAAAATATTATTTTTTTATTTTAATATTTCCATTTTATATAGAGTTTTTTATTATATTTTCCTTTATTTTTTTTTTAGTTTTATTCTTTTTTCTAGTTTTTATTTTTACTTTGTATTGGTATATTTGTAGTAATGGTTATAAATTGAAAAGAAATGGACATTATTTTAGAATATTGTTTTTTTATTATTTGCAGAACTTAGAGATATGGAAATCCCAGTCAATTTCAAAACATCTTTAAATCTTACAGATAATAGAGTATTTACATTTAATAAAGTTTACAGAACAATTTACCATTTTATATTTACTGAATTTGAGTAGTATGATCAGACTTAGAATATTGCACTTAAATATTCCTTAAATAAAGTTTATAGAATACTTTATACTTATTTAAAATGAATTTCCTATGACTTTACTATAATTTTAATATTTATTTATTATACAACTTAAATATGCATTAACTTTTATTTTAATATTTTGATATAATTTTTATACAACCTGATTAACTTTATACATACAATTGCTTATACCACCATATCTTGACCAAATCTTGGCTATAAGATCTTTCAATTTTAAAAGTAATGAGAATATTCTTATTCAAAAAAATTATGTTTCAGAATACTATTAGAAAAAAAATGTTAATTTCGATCATTAACATTGTTAACAATCTTAGGTTAGTATATATTGAAACTATATCTGATATGAGTTTTTTTTTATTTTTCCATGTACTTGCATGTATTAAAACTAGTTTTTTTGTGAATAAAAAATGCTGAACCATGAAAACATGACTGCAAGTCATAGTTGTTTAAAATTTTGCAATTACAGAGAGAATTTTTAGTTGGTCATCCCTTAGTTGCATTTACCGTTCTAATGTTTCTCCCCTATTTTAATAATATCTACATGATATTCAGCAAAACTGGAGAACTTAATCCCATCTGCCCATCTAGGCTGAATACTGATTTCAGATATTTTTGGAACAAAAATTTTGCCGATTAACCTACACTTGACTTTGACATTCTTTTCATCTTTATTCTTTTCATCTTTATTCATCGCTTCAACTACAAAACTTAAGACTGCTAATCGTAATAACAATTGCCTGTAGGCTTTTTTAATTGCTTTATTTCCGCTTGACAATTTAATCTCCCCTAACTCAATTGTGACATCTGAAATATCTGAGCCTGATGTTCTGCCTCGAAAATCAATATCTAGGATCGTATTGAACGGGGCCTAAAAAATTATATAATGAATGAGAGTTAGTATACTATACATAATTTCCAATGGCATTAAAAAAGTATAAATACCTGTTCGTTAGCTATAGCTAACTTCACATCTAATACATATGATGTCATTAGCATAATGCATAATGAGCGCGTATTCGTCAGATATAATTTTTTTTCAGATGTCTTATTATTTGAATTGTCTAATATAATAAGACTTATAAGTAACTTTATTTGATTTTACAAACTCAATCCTAACAAACTTACTCTCAAAAGATTCCCACTTCTTAAGTGCAATTTTCCCTTTATCTGCAAGTTGTTGGAGGTTCTTGAAATAATTACTATTGTCATTTGGTAGTTTACGAATATATTCTATTGCTGAATTAAGGCAATCTCGCATATTTTTTGTCTATTAGGAAGTGTAAATCATTACGTTAAGTAAGAATCATATGTGAAAGGCTCATTCCATAATATTTTATATTCACTTACATAAATAAAATCAGAGAGTTTGTGAACACGATATGATGAAACATACACTTGAGAATCATATAACGCCTTTTCCTTTTCAGATAGAAGTATATTACGGAGTAAAGCAAGCCTCACCAGACCGTTAAGGTCAAAAATTTCGAATTTTGAGGTGTAATGTGATCCCAGGAACTTGGATACTTCAGAACGTGCTGATAATTCATATATATTGCCTAAAATTGTTCTCACATCTCCTAATTCTGTTCTCATATCTCCTAATTCTGTTCTCACATCTCCTAATCCGTTTCTAAATTCTAAACTCATCTTTTCAAGTTTATCATCAATAGATTCTATAGTTTGAAACAGGTGAATGTCATTGACCGTTAGTAAGGAAAGTGAAATAATCTAGTGATTTCTTGGTGGCAAAAATACCTGGAATTGCAACAGTATCTAAAAACAATTAAAAATGAAATCAAAATTATATTAGTTATTGCAAATTTCTTGTTTGAGAAGTAAAACATTAGGAGACACTTACCAGTGGTAGAAATTGCGATAATATGAATATTCTCCGCAGTTTCATCATCTTCATCATCTTCATCATCTTGACTATTAGCTTGATTCAATTCATTTATAAAATATGTTTTGAATAATTTTTGCAGTTCCATTTCTTTCCCATTAAGTTCCTTTTCAATGTCTTCTCCGGTAAGAACATTTTTATTTTCGATTTCTTCTTTCTTCTTATTAATTTTCCAGAGTTTCATATCGGGATAATTAATATTAGTTTTCTTACAGATATATTCAATAAGTATCGCGACTGAGAAGCTGCTCACGTGGAGCTTTTGACCTTGATACATAATGAACATTTTATTAACTTTATCGGCTTCATTAAAAATGGGAATTGAAATTATAGTACTAGTGTTTAAAATTAAACAATTAAATGACTGTGTCATTTCGATGATATTTCTGATAGTGATAAAATTAAGATAAAAAGTGAAGTTGAAAGAAAAAGTTTGAAAGATTTTTTTTTAAGGTTAAATATACTTTTCTCTTGATAAACTCTTTTGTTAACTTATTATGACGTAATACAGCAAATAATAAGTACCCTAGCTATGGCAAAAAAAAAGTTGCAGTCACGTGACATTTGGCCCGCATTACGGAGTTATGCACTAACATGTGAAAATAAACAGTGGCAAATAAGGGTGTGACGAATAAGTATTTACTTACTCGAAAAAAACTAAGTCCTTCAGATAAATATAAAAAGTGGAAACACGGTAGGGTGTGACGGTTGTGATGAAAAAAATTCAGTCACGTAACTGCAACTTTTTTTTTGCCATGACTGGGGTTCTGGCAAATAATATAAGATACTTTGACAAAAATCAATAACAATAAGCATAGTGAAAAAGTAATTTATCAGTATACAAGAAAAATGATTAATACGAGTTTATCATTACTCATTAGATTCTCGAGGGGTATTTATTAAAATGAATTATTGTTACGTAATTTTTTTGGTTGCATAATTGATTGTATTTGATTAATGTGGCACCAAAAGAAATGTCTAAACAATCAACTGGATCATGATATTAATATTATTTATTTCATGGGAAGTTGGAAATAATAGTGTAATCCTTTGAAGCGTGTCACTCATTAAATATTAACTATTTTAACTATTTTAAACTAAAATTAGTAATTTTCCGGCTATCTATATAAGACCGGGAAATAACTTTTCTGGTCATTTAATAAACTCAGCTAATCACTCGCAATTTTTAAAGGTGATCATGAGTGACACTTAGTGCGACAGGGGATTAAAGTATAAATATAGTTAATACACCAGCGTTAACTATTATTTGTAAACTTGATGCATATGTTGTATGCAGTAAGCAGTCAATCTGAAATAGTTTTCTGACCATAATTGAAAACATTCCCTTTTGTTTCAATAATACTTCAAAATATAAGGCTGAAGACTGACGAATAGCATTTTTTTTTTATTGTTATCTCGTTTTTGACTGCTTGAAAAGCAGCGTTCTCCAGAGCTGTATAGTTAATGTACAGTATTTTATGAAAGAAATTTACAAGAATGAATCTTCGTCATATTGTATAATGAAATACGATTTAGCCATATAGGGTTGAGTATAATTGTTGGTGATGATTATGCAATCTAAGTGCTAGAAATAATTTGTATCACAGAGAGTCAAATTGCAATTAATTCTCTCAGGTATTGTTAGTTTCTCGTTTTATTAACAGGTTCCATCCCACAATGTGAAGGTACCTACCAAACTAAAAGAGGAAATGAAAAATAAATGATGCTGTGACAGTATTTACATCATGTTATGAAGTTTGTCCTTATATTCATTGTCTTTTCTAGGAATGAGTTTAATTAAAGCCGCAGTTGGAAAAGAAAATGAAGTTCTTTTCACAAGAATATGATATGGCTGAATGAAAAGGCAACAGGTTCAGAGTTATTTCAAAGAGTTAGTACTTGTAGTTTGTCATTTTTAATTGTTTTAATTTTTATTTTTATCTTGTAAACAATTTTTTTTGTAACAAATAACAATTAATAAATTTGCTTACTAGTTAGATGGGTTAATTGAATGTATACAATTCTTTTTCTTTTAAAAAAAATAGTTCAACACTAATACGGTTCATTAATTTTAATTTCTTTGTATCAAAATAAAACTATAATTAGTATTGTATATTAAATGTTATTGTTTTATTTTTTTGGAAGTGGTAAGAATCTTGTTAGAATTTCATGATTGCTTTCTTCACTTTGCATTTTGTGTATAAATATTTATCAATGCAGTAATCTAGTAGTTCTAATTAACTGATATTTATTTATACTAATTATATTTATTGAAATTTAAGTCAAATTGTTTAAGATTCAAACTATTTAATTTATTAGTAATTTAGTATATTCAGATTCTATTGTTAATTTGTTTTCATTAGAACTTGAGTTATTTAATTTATCACTATTTTTAAAATCAATAGAATCAATATTCTTAAGTTCTGAAATTACTTCATTAATATTTAGTTTTTTTTATAATTTAAAATATTACTAACATTTTATTTAATAAAATTATAATATAATTCAATATTAGGCTAAACTAATAGGATTTTTTTTTAAGAGAAAAAAAAAGGAGCTAAAATAATTTACAAAATTTTTTAAATTATTTTTTACTATTAAAATTTAGAGGAAAGATAGGAAAAAGTAATAAAAAAAATTTAGAAGTTAGATTTCTATAAGGAAATTAATATATAATAAATTTTTGCTTTTTTGATATTTATTTAAATTTAAATTTTTAAGGTAAAATTTAAATCAAATTAATTTATTTTTAAAGTTAAGACTTCAAAGATTATGCCTAATTTTTTATAAAATAACTTTATACATGAAATTGGAATATGGATCAATCAGATCGTAAAATTTTGTAATTACGAAACTTCTATTTTTATTTTTTTTTTAATTTAAACCGTTTTTTAATATTTTTTATTTTTTTTTGGCTTCAGATTATAGTTGTTTCTGAAATTCAATTGGCAAATCTGAAATCTGAAATTATGAAATCGTAATTAATTACGTATTCCAAAATTCTGAAATTTGTATAATAATGCAAAATTGCAAATATCTTGGGATCTAGTAATCAGATTTCAATGATCTTACTACCATTCGATTCATCTCATTGAGACGAATCTAATGATATGTGTTCCATTTCTGTAGCACCAATATTGATGGAGTAGAATTATTATAAACATTTAATGAATTTTGGTGTCAGAGCACGATCTAGTGATTAGATTTGAATGAATTTACCACCATTCAATTCGTCATGACGAGACAATTCTAATGGCGATAAGATCATCTTTCTAGCATTAAAATTGACGGATATTGGTATCAGAGCGTGGTCTAGTGATTGGATTTAAATGAACTTACTACCATTAGAATCGCCTTATCAAGACGAATCAAATGGTAGTAAGATCATCCAAAACGGATCACTGGGTGCTGAGTTATTATTTGTTAAAGTTTTTATATATAAATTGGCCAAAATTAAGGCTAATTCTGGGCAAATATTTTTGTAATACAAAATTAATTTCGGAGTCTGAAATTAATTACGAAATACGGAGTTTTTCTAATGAATTACTTAATAATTACAGAATTACGTAATTACGTATTTCCATAATACTAAAATAATTTTAGACACAAGTATACTTTAGATCAAGTGTTTAAAATATCAAATCAGATGTGATTATAAGTTTTATATTATAAAACTTCTTTTTTTTTAATTTGAAATATTTTCTAATATTTCTTTTTTTTTATTTTTGTAAGTTTAGGTTTTAGAGTTTTGAGAATTGAAAAGATTAAGTTTTATAATTTTCATTATGAAACTTTTCTTATAAGTTTAGGAGGATCCAGAAATATATATATAGAAGTAAGGTTTACTGATGCATCGCCTGATCGCCATTATAGTAAAATTAGGTGAAGTAAGATAGTAGTAAGATTTTGATTTGCATAAAATTTAAGAATTTTTTATTTATAGTCTAATTATTAATTTGCATATTTTAATCAATATTTTTAATATATAAGAAATTTGGGTTGCATATTTTTAACCCAAATTTATTTGGCAGATTATACATATATTTACAGTCAAACCTTGATATAACAAACCCTTGATATAGTGAATTTTTTAGACAATTATAATAAATTTCCCTTCACTATAATGAATTAACCAATCAAATCTCTTAAAATTTTCACTATAACCTTATAGTAAAGTTGAAATCTAGACCTTAGGATTCATTATAATAAGGGTTGACTGTATATATATAATTTATTATATGATATATTTAGCTAGTTAATTCAGTGTTGTACATGGACACTGTCCGCAGCATTTTGCTTGGACAATAATGTTCATGTCCCGTGTCCGTTGACCATGTCCCAGAAAATGTCCCAATCATCACTTGTCATACGGACAGTGTCCAAGCATATTTCCAAATTGTCCGGGACAATTTTATATGTCCAGCCAGTCTGGGATGTCCGTATCTAAGCCACAATAAAAATTTTCACAAAAAATTTTCATTATGCCACCGCTTCCTTCTTTGTTAGCTCCATATATTATTAGAACTGATATTAAAGTTAACAAAAGCAACCTCAAAACTTTTTGTAAACCTTGTATAGAAGAATTGGAAGAGGAGGAAGGGCAAAAAACATGGTTTCCAAATAAAAAAGATCGAATAGTTCAACATTTTAAGAAATGTACTAATTTTTTTGCCCAAACAAATGAAGAGCAACGAAAAGAAATATTTGAATTATTACAAACTAATAACAATAATGTTATTACAAATATAATTCCTTAAAAAAGAACATGTAAATCATATTTTAAAGAATTTAATAGCATATTATTCATTAATAAATAATATTTCATAACATGTATATTTATTTTAATTCCAGACTCTACATTCTCTCAAGCTTCTCTGGCATCAAGTTCTTCTCATAAAGTAGCAGTGATTAACCTAAGGTTGCTTGCCAAAACCTCTCTAAAATCCTGCGATAAATTTCGGCAAGATTTTACTATATGTTTACTATAGTTTCGGCAGGGTTTCGGCAGTTTCGGCAAATGGGGGTTTCGGCATTTCGGCAAGGTTTCGGCATTTCGGCAAAGTTTCGGCAGGATTTTTAATATGATTTAATATAGTTTTGGCATTTTCCGCATAGGTTTCGGCAGTTATTAAGAAGGTTTCAGCAAGCAACCTTAGATTAACCGTTCATCATGTTATGGGCCTATGGATAATTATATTGTGCGATCCTTATCTAAAGAAGATTTAAAAAAGTTTAACATGTTACTACTTCGACTTACGGTCTCCTGTGGATGGGCATTATCATGGGTAAATAATCCTAAAGCTAAAGAGTTATTCGATTTTTTAAATCTTTTTCTTAAACTACCTGATCGCCGTGTTCTTGGGGGTGATATTT